ATTTTACTGCTTCTTAGAATCATTAAATTTTACAGAAAAGGTAAAAAATATCCTATATTCCTACGTTAACATCAATTTGTATGACTTGTCAGAAACTAGGTAACTGGTCTTTAATAGTAATCTCCTGTAGACATCAATCCTTAGCAGTGATTTTTAAGTCTTTATGAGCTACTCTTTGCCCCATGATTACCAGTAATCTGAGGAAAACAAACCTTCTTTTTTCCCAGAGAAAGGGCCACGTACTCATTCTTTAAAGCATCAGGAGCCCAGCGTTGTGGCTCAGACCTGTAATCCCAGCACTTCAGGAGACCGAGGCAGGATAATTGCTTGAGCCCAGGAGTTTGAGACTAGCCCGAGCAATATAGTGAGATCTTGTCTCTACAAAAAATTTAAAAATTGGCCAAGCATGGTACCACACACCTGTAGTCCCATCCTCTGGATAGGGTGAGGTGGGAGGATCGCTTGAGCCCGGTAGGTGGAGGTTGTGTGGGTGATGGAGTGAGACCCTGTCTCAAAGGGGTTGGGGGTGGTGAGGAGCCCTTGATCCGGAAAAATGTAGGCTCATATTTCTAATAAAACCTTTTCAGCTCTGAAATACTGCTGCAGCTCAACCCTGCGCAAAAAGAAAATAAAAATTTTTTTAAATTTCAGTTCATTGTTTTCAGCAAGTTTCATGAACACTTGACAATTAAAACTAGAGGGACTGGGTGCCATGGCTCACTTGTAATCCCAGCACTTTGTGAGGCCTAGGCGGTCATATCATGAAGGCAGGAGAGAGAGACCATCCTGGCCAACATGGTGAAACCCCGTCTCCAGTAAGAATACAAAAAATTAGCCAGGTGTGGCGGCATGTTCCCGTAATCCCAGCTACTAGGGAGGCTGAGACAGGAGAATCGCTTGAACCTGGGAGGGAGAGGCTACAGTGAGCTGAGATTGCACATCTGTACTCTAGCCTGGGCGACAGAGTGAGATTGTCTCAAAAAGAAAACCAAAATACTAAAGTAGTCAACTAAGAAGATTGCATGGATTTGAAAAGTAATAATGGGAGTTAGTGAACATTTGAACATTATGGAAAATCTAATTAATAAGGAGCTAAAACCGAAAATATGCAATCAGAATTCGGATGAGAGATTTTCGTTTTAATTCTGCAACTATTTCTTAGTAGTTCAGCATCTGTTACGTATCTGTTGCGTCAGGCATTGTAATATCTACAGAAGATGCAGTGGTGAGCAAGAGACATGTGATCCTACACTTGGTGTTGAAATTAAGACTGAAAAATGATCAGAGGAAAGACATAGATACATTTAGGAGATGTAGTCTGTACATAAGTGAAATTCCAGAAAGAGGACATTGTAGGAGATTTGTTAGGGTGGTGGGAAAAATTATAGAGAAAGATGCAAACCTTCTTGGAAGGCCAGGAAGTTTTGCAAAAGCCTTATGAGAGGGTTGTGGCTGAAGGCAGCTAAATCCTCTTACACTGGGGCCAGGGCAAAGAGCAAGGTACAAGGGAGTGCAAAGGAATTTATCTAAATAAGTTTGTTTACCTGTCTCCCCCTCTCAGACCCGACCTTTGATCATCTGTGTGCGGAACTGCTCTCTACTTGGGGGGTCAGCAATGTTAATTACTCACTAATGGTGTTTACTCAAGACCTGTGTCATTAAATCTGTACTAAATAAATGCCAAGCCTCTCTGGCTTACTGGGGCTGCATGGCTGCACTCCTCCTTAGGAGGTGCCAAAGCTGCGTAAGCCCCCAGCTGCGCCCTCTCAGGCAAAAACCTGTATCAGCATAATTTTTCATCCGTCGCTCGACCAGAGTCTGCCGGTCAGACTTGACAGTTGCTGCCCCCATGTGAGGACACTACAAGGGATCATGGATAATGGCGGAACCCTCAAAAATGAACGTGAAGAGACTGCGCAGTCGGTAAGTCATTGGTGCTCACTCAGGATTTCCAAGTTCTAGGGAATTTTTCAGGCTAGGATTTCATCATGGGACAACAGTTATCAACACAACAGAAACGATATATAAAAATATTGAAACATCTGCTTAAAGCTAGTGAGCCTCAGTTTCGCAGATTCAATTAAGGGATCTAATGCAAACTGTTGTTTTCCATAACCCATGGTTCCCGGCAAAAGGCACGCTAGACTTAGAGCTCTGGGAACAAGTGGGGAGAAATCTTAAGCAACATCATGCACAAGGGCAACAGATCCTAGTAACATCTCTAATGTTATGGGCCTTAGTTAAGGCTGTGTTGGCCCTGCTATACACAGAAGACCCTGAAAAGGGAAGGGAGGAAGAACTATTACCTACCTTCCCACCTCCTTTTCCCTCAGCCCCCTCCCCCAGTAAATTGGAAAAAAAGAACAAGGAATATGCTACAGCTATAGGACCCTGTCTTAGGCAAGCGGCATTAGAAGGGGAGCTCTTGGCCTGCCTGGTAATGCAAGATTGTCCAGGCAGTCCGCACATGAATCCATTTTTTTTTGAGGCTTATAAAGAGATAAGAAAAAGCATTAGAGAGAACGGAGCTGCTAACCCATTTATGAAAGGATTAGTTGAGGCCATAGCAAGACAACTTCCTTATGACCTCTTTCTAATAATGGCCACTATTATTCCTCACCTACCCCTGATGTGCCTCTCTCAAAATCTTATTTAGGCAGAAATTACAGCAAGCCCATGAATTAGTTGAGGAGCAATTAAAAGCCGGCCATATAGAACCATCAAATAGCCCTTGGAATTTGCCCATTTTCATCATTCCCAAAAAGTCTGCCAAATGGAGACTTTTGCATGACTTACGGGCTTTTAATGCTAATTTGGAGCCAATGGGGCCTCTTCAGCAGGGGCTCCCTTCCTCTGTGGCGATTCCTCAGAATTGCCCTATCATTGTTAATGACTTAAGACTACTTGTATACTATTCCCCTTACAAAACAGGCCAGTGAAAAATTTGTGTTTACAATACCAGCTATTAATACAAGGCCAGCTTGCCAATTTCATTGGAAAGTGCTTCCTCAAAGAATGCCAAACAGTCCTACCATGTGTCAGTATCATATAAAATCAGGCTTTGCTCCCCAGTAAAAAATAATTTCCTTATTGCAAGATCATTCATTTTATGAATGATATTTTATTGGCAGCCCCAATGGAGCCAGTACTTTTAAGTTTCTGTGCCTCTGTCCAAAGGAATACACAGGAGGTTTAATCATAGCACCTAAAAAAGTACAAATGTCCTCTCTTTAGAAGCATCTTAAATACATACTAACTTCTCAATCAGTAAGGCCTCAAAGGGTTAAATTAAATGCTAGCAACTTACATACCTTAAATGATTATCAAAAATTACTGAGTGATATTAACTGGCTTTGACCCACCTTGGGCATAACTGTTGATAAGTTGCAAAACCTGTTTTCGGTCTTAAAAGGCAGTGCTGCCCTGGATTCTCCCAGGTATTTAACCCCTGCAGCAAAAAGGAAAATTGAGGAAATAGAGCTAGCTATGTCTTAAAGGCAACTAGATCACATAGACCTGGGATATTTCCTATTAATCATTCCCCAACAGGATTAATAGGACAAATGGTCCCAGGACTGCACCTCCTAGAATGGGTTTTTTGCTCACATACCAGGACTAAAACACTATCTCCCTATATCCAGCTAGTTAGTAAAGTTATCTATATGGGCTGCAGATGATGCAGTCAGTTGCTAGGTTATGACCCTGATGTCATAAGAATTCCTTTGAGTAAAAAGCAATTCAAAGCAATATTGCCCTTATCTCTAGGCCTTCAGATAGCACTCTAGTTATGCAGGCCATTTAGAACATATACTTCCTGTTGACAAACTGCTTTGGTTTTTATCTTGTACTCCTCTTACTATGCCTACAAAAGTAGTTCGCTCCCCCATACCTAACACTCACTTTAACGCTGTTTACTGATGGCTCTGATAAGAATGCAAAAGTGGCTGTCGGGTAGAAGCCGCATAATTTCCTCACGCAATCTGGCTTTACTAGCACTCAGAGAGCTGAGGCTGGAGCTGTAATATTGGCCTTAGAAACTTCTGCTCAGCACATCAATGTTGTTAGTGACTCTGCTTACTCTATTTATTGCAGAACCTTGAGACAGTCCTCAACTCTCGAGCCCACACTGTGTGCCTTTTTTCTTTGACTTCAGCAATTGCTGGATCAACGTACATACCCTGTTTTTATCTCACATATTCGAGCCCACAGGTCACTGCCTGGCCCACTGGCTTATGGCAACGATCAAGCAGATCTACAAGTTATGACATCACTGCTTGACCAAGCCACCCAGTGGCATCAACTTTTTTCACCAAAAGTGGAGAAACTTACACAATTTCAGCTTAACCCAATGACTAGCCAGATTATCCTACAGTGCCCAGATTGCCAACTCACAGCATGTCTCCTCCTACAGATTTTAACCCTAGAGGACTAGAACCTAATCGGTTATGGCAAACAGTTGTTACACACGTCCCTGAATTTGAAAACTAAGACATGCACATGTATCTGTTGATACCAGGCCTCATCTAATTAGCACACATGTGCTGCCTGGAGAGTCTACCCGATAATGTTATTAAACATCTTCTTTTAACTTTTGCTTATATAGGGCAGCCCACAAAAATTAAAACTTATGGTCCACCTTACGCTAGCTCACAATTTCAACAATTTTGTCACACATGGAACGTCCAACATTCCATAGGCATCCCATATAACCCCAAGGATAGGCCATAGTAAAACATGCCCATTGTACCCTTAAAAATATGCTCAGAAAACAAAAAAGGGGGAGTATGAGTAAGGACCCTGCAACACTAATAGGACAAGGCTTATTTACCCTTAATTTTTAGATGATAAATTTCAATCAGCTGTAGAAAAACACTTTACTAAAACCTCTCAAGATGTAAAACCCACAGTTTTATGGAAGGATGGAAATAGCAATGCATGGTGTGGTCTAAATGATCTGCTAACATGGGGAAGAGCATATGCTTGTGGTCATACCCCCTCAGGTCCTCTTTAGATTCCAGCATGACACATCAAACCATACCATGGCGTGGTTGGGACCCAGCCCAGTACCAGAGATAAAGAAAATGAACCTGCAGGATCTACAGCCCCAGATGATGCAACTTCCTTCGAAGACACAAGATCTGGACCTTACCTGGGGGATGCTGAAGAAGGCAGCTTACGAGGCTGAGCAAATCCTGCTCCAGATGCAGAAACCATTCACTCCAGATAATTTCTTCCTTGCTATGCCCTCTATTGTACAATACAACTCACATAGGGTATTTATCCTTTTTATACTCTTGCTTTTTCTGCAGCCTGTACCTGCTATACTCTTTTGGGCCCATCTCTTAGATCCGCCTTTCTTTCACCCTTTACCTGGGCACACACCCCCTTCCCAGCCTCTAATAGTATAACTGCTTGGCTAGGAGGGATTGACTTAACCTCAGTGGGATCCCTCGTTAATAACACATTGGACTAAGGTGCCAGGTAACACAATATATCACTCTGCTGTCCTCCCACTGTGTATAAGTTATAAAAGGAAATGCCTTAACATTCTTGGTCGCTGATAGCCTCAAACTGGGCAGTGCAAACAATGCCACTTTCTCCAACATTCATCCCTGTGCTAAAGAACCAAGCTGGGAAAGTAATGGATTCCACTTTGGTTGGGGGGGTCTGTCACCAGGGACAAGCCCATAGCCTCCACTAATAGCCTTCACTGATAGGCAATTATAACATCTTAGACTAGAGCCTCCATGGTCATTTGCAGGGCAGTCATAATGATGTCCACGTATATCATGGCATCAATAACAGTTTCATAGCCACATCCCATTCCCCTATGGTTTCAGCCAATGGGATATCCCAGACCCCAAGTAGAGTCCATGCCACCCCAGTATACTTTATGGCGCCTGGAACATCTTAGCACCTTCTTAACACCTGGCATGGGACATAATATAATTCCCATAACAATTATACTATGACCTTTATTTATAATCACACAGTCCAATACCTAGTTTGTACTACCCATCCATATGTTTTCCTTATGGGAACCCATATTTCCATGACACCCCAAAACTCCGCGTTTGTTACCCAAGTCCAAGGACAGGCTTGGTTTGCCTCATGCATCCTAATTACAGTATATCTGATTTAAATATTATTGGTGTCATGGTTTTAAGGAGATAATCTGAAGCATTACTACCAGTCAGTTTGATACACAATTGGCAAGGTTCCTCTGCTCTTGCCACCTTAGAATGTGCCCTGTCCCAGGTCAGATACAAAAGATTCATAGTTACTCTTATAGCCTTTATAGTCTCAGCCATAGTCATCCTAGCAACTGCTAGTGTGGCTGTAGCATCTATTAGTGAATCAGTGCAAACAGCTACTTTTGTAGATAACTTGGCCAGAAATGTGTCTAATGAACTCCTTCCTCTTACAGCAAGGTATAGATCAAAAGATTCTTGCACGTTTGCAAGCTCTTGAGGCTGCCTTGGAATATGTAGGGGAACGACAAGAGGCACTGGCATTCCACCAGCAATTAAATTGTGACGGGGAGCATAAGCATATCTGTGTCACCTCTCTACCTTGGAATCAATCAATACATAGTTGGGATGAAATGAAACAACACCTCTGGGGAATCTTACATGATAGTTTTACAGCAGACATAAAACAACTTAAAACTGAAATTCTAGAATACCTAAACGCCAGATCTACATCCCCAACAAACTACGCAAGAACATCTCTCTTGGATTGACCGCCACTCCTTGGGGTCACTCTTTGATTGGAAAAGAATGTTACTGATTATACTCATGTTTGTCTTATGTTATTTACTAATTCTAGGATGCAAAACTGGAACATGACTTATAACTGCTGCACCTGACAAACCTACTGCTGCACACATCTGTACTCTTCAATCAACAAAACCTGATGCAAAAAAAAAAACAGAAAAGGAGGAGATGTAGGAGATTGGTCAGGATGGCGGGAAAAATTATAGAGAAAGATGCAAACCTTCTTGGAAGGCCGGAAGGTTTTGCAAGAGCCTCAGGAGAGGGTTGTGTCTGAAGGTGGCTAAATTGTCTCATCTTGGGGCTAGGGCAAAGAGCAAGTTACAAGGGAGTGCAAAGGAATTTATCTAAATAACTTTGTTTACCTATTTCCTGCGCGGACAGTTCTACTGGGATGGGGGGGGGGGGTCCGGCAATGTTAATTACCCAGTAACGGTGTTTACTCAAGACCTTTGTTATTAAATCTGTACTAAATAAATGAGGAGCTTCTCTGGCTTGTTGGGGCTGCATGGTCACACTCCCTTTTGAGCAGTGTCCAAGCTGTGTAAGCCCCCCAGCTGCGCTCTCTCAGGCAAAAACCTGTGTCAGCGTAATTTTTGATCCGTTGCTCGACCAGAGTATCAGACTCAACAGACATCACTTAAATACTGAGGATTTTAAATTCCGTGGTTATGATGGGGCGCCTTATAGTGATCTAGGCAGAAAACAGTTTATACAAAGAAATGGTCTAGCCTTAGATAGTAAAACAACATATTCTTGAAAGTTGGATGGGAAAAAGGTTGTGATTTACTGTAACCAATTACATTCATTTCAAGTAGAATCCTAAGGTGAGTGTTCGGACAGCATTTATTCTCAGACATGCATGGGCTTAGAAGATATTTCACTAATACATATTATTCCAAAACATTAAAATGAAGAACTTAAGAAATGGAGAAAGAATTTTTTTTTTTTTTTTTTTTAAATGAGATGGAGTCTTGCTCTGTCGCCCAGGCGTGCAGTGGTGCGATCTTGGCTCACTGCAACCTCCAGCTCCCAGGTTCAAGCGATTCTCCTGCCTCAGCCTCTCCAGTAGCTGGGACTACAGTTGTGTGCCATCGTGCCCTACTAATTTTTTTGTATTTTTAGTAGAGATGGGGTTTCACTGTGTTAGATGGTCTCTGTCTCCTGACCTCATGATCTGCCCACCTCGGCTTCCCAAAGTGCTGGGATTATAGACTTGAGCCACGTGCCCAGCCTGAAGAAGTTATTACATAAGATGTTGTCAGTGAACAATGAAACCACTTAAACATAGACTAAAAGCTAAATAATGTTTTTATAAAATTTCAAAAAAAGTCACTTAAAATTACTAGAAAGTTAATTTTGATCTAAAATATGTAATCAAAAATTGGAATGTGGCCAAGGATTAAAGACTAAATGTTTCAGCTTATACATTGGAACTTAGTAGTTTCAAATTTCTTTTAAAATTGAAAATTACCGTTAGTGGAATAGAAATAGAATGAATTTCCTCTAAATTATTGAGGGAACGTGTGGGATAAAACCCCCTAAAGTGCCAAAGGAAATGACAAGAATGCCCAAAAAGAACAGAAATTGTAAAATTCCATGAAAACAGTTATGATGAAATTCAGATCAAGTCAGCAAATATTTACTGAATGTTCAAGCATGACTTTATGCACTGTGAATAGAATACTGAAGAAAACAAAAGTTCCTGGTCTCACAGAGTTTTAACTTCAAGGGGTAGGGAGAGAGAAAACGCAAAAATACGTGCATATTATGTTTGTTTTCAACAAGTACTGTGGTGAAGAATATCAGGAAATGGGAATAGAAGCACTCTTACAGGGAATGAGGAGCTAGCTGTGCAGCTTTCAGTAAGGCAGTTGGGAAGATCTCATTGAAAAGGTGATACTTGAGCACAACACTTTAAAAAGATGAGGGAACAAACCATGTCCTGGATTGAGAGCATGATAGAAGGAATAACACCTGCAAAAGCTATACCTGTATAGCTTCTTTGAGGAGTGGAAAGGATGCTTGGGGTTGGAGTGAAGAAGGATAGGAAGAAGTGTGTTGTGGTTTGGGAGTAGAAGGTAGGTGGAACATGTTACAAACTCTTCCGAGGCCATTGTAAGTATTGGGTTTTTTCCTTGAGTCTAATGAAGAGTTTTGAGTTGAGGCATGGCAGATTCAATCTAGTTTTATGTTGTGATTAGAGAGAGGGTAGAATGGCAAGGACTGAAGCACCAAGACCATTAGGTAATTGTAGTAATCAAAGCAAAAGATGGCAGTAGGTTAGAGCAGGGTGATATAGCAATTGCACTTTAGGTATCTGAAATGTCACAGTGCTGTAAGAAACTATGTTGTTAAAAGGTAAACAGTAGTTCTCCCTTATCTGAGGCTTGGCTTTGCAATTTCAGTGGTCAACTGTGGTTTGAAAATGTTGAATAGAAAATTCCGGAAATAAACAATGAACATGTTTTAAATTGTGTCACATTCTGAGTAGCATTATGAAATTTCATGCGGTCCAGCTCCAGCTTACTGGGGCTGTGAATCATTACTTTGTCCAGAGTATATCCACACTTTATATGCCACCTACCTGTTAGTCACTTAATAGCTGTCTTGGATATCAGATTGACCGTCACTTTATTGCAGTGCTTGTGTTTAAATAACCCTCATTTTACTTAATAATGGTCCTAAAGTGCAAGTATGGTGATACTGGCAATATGGATAGGCCAAAGAGAGGCTGTAAAATGCTTTCTTTAAATGAAAAGGTGAAAGTTTTTGATTAAGGAAAGAAAAAAATTGTATGCTGAAGTGGCTAAGTTCTACAGTATAGTAAGATATTTTGATAGATCACATTCATGTAAGTTTTATTGCACTATATTGTTAAAACTTTTTTTTTTTTAAATTTAGAATATGGAATGCCTAACGAATATGCATGTCATCCTTGTATAGGGACCATGCTAATTTCCATATCATTCTAATTTTAGTATATGTGCTGCTGAAAGGAGCACTGTTCTGTTCTATTGTTGATCTCTTACTGTTCCTAATTTAGAAGTTAAACTTACATGTAAATATAGGGAAAAAACTTTGCATATATAGGGTTCAGTACTAGCACTGTTTGAAGGCATCCACTGGGGGTCTTGGATAAGGGTAGACTGCTGCAGTTAATGGTAAGTAAACGCAGATAAGTTGTAAAAGATGTAAAATTAGGCTGTGTAATCACAAATGGAAAAAAATGTCTTTATTAATAGAAAAAGGTAATAAGCATGTATACTTTAGGAAGATTTTAGAATTTTCTTGTTCTATATTTTCTAAATTGCTTTTTACTAAATTCCTTTTGTTCAAAATATTTTTCCTACACAGAACAAAGAGGTGAAGAAAAAGGCTTTAGAGTCAAAGAAAGTATCTGCATCTACCTTAAAGTAAGTGACTTTATGATTTCATGTGTGAGAATGAATGTGTATTTGACTTAAGAAATTTTAATATTTAAAACTGCATTTTAAATATATTTTATCACCATAACTACACTTTAAGTGGAACATCACTCCAGTTGAATTATTTTAAATGTTTTTAGATGTAAATATTACATTTTTAGGATTTTGTAGAACTTAGAATTCCTAAGTTGCTGCTAAATTTTTTCTTCTTTTAAATAGAAGAGATACAGATGCTTCAAAAGCTGTTGAAATTGTTACTTCAGCTTCTGCTGGTAAGTTGCTACTTTTAATATTCTTTCAAATGAGTGTGTCTTGTCAGTTTAGTAGAAACTTAGATGATGATGCTTGGAAGGCACTGTTGTATTTTAATGAAAGAGATCTCAATTACGTTCTTTAATTGGGATCTTGGTCCCTGTATTAAGCAGGTGGTTAAAATTTAGTGCGGTATAATTACAGAATCTCTTCTGGAGTAAATATAACAAAACTATGAGATAATATATGTGAAATGTCTATCATAGTTCCACAGTTAATAGCTGTTTTTTACGTGTTTAGGTTAGTTATGCAATACCTCCCTCCATCCCCTCCCGATAAACTCACAAGACAAAACATAAGAAAGGTATGTTAAGATTGCTTATCTGGTCCCTTTGATTTTGAAGGTTAATTGAGAGCCAAAAAGCAAACAAAAAAGACTAACCAGAAATAGACGTTATCACACTCATGTGCTAAAAGCTGTTTCTTTATACTCAGGAAAATACTTGAAGCCATCATTGTGAATCTAGTTAAACAAATTTTGCATACAGTTTTAATAATTCTGGTTCTCTTTTTTCTTAGTCCATTTAGGATTAGAAAGGTGGAAGAAGTTGCTGCCAAAACATACACTCCTGAGACTAGTACTAGTGAGAATAAACAGCTTGATAGTGAAAGACAAGAAAGAAAAGCTAAAATAAGGCAGACACAAAACTCTGTTTAGCAACTTACATTGTGTTTTGTATGTTCTATTTGGGGAGGGCAAAAATATAGTGTGTTTTGGTTTTCTATCCAGAGTAAGGTAAGAATTTAGGCACTAAGTTTTACTAGTGTTGGGAATGTTGGATTGTATGGAATATCTCATTGCCACATAATGTTTAGTTGTGTAGAGTACTGAAATATTGAAGGTTAGTGGAGATACTGTGGATGGCTTCTGGAAGGCAGTACCTTTTTATTAAGATTTTAAATTAGGTGATATTATATGAAGAGATAAAATGTGGAGGCAGAAAATTGCTTCATGTGGGGGACACATAACGAAGGTAACAAAGTTGAATTACTCTGTTGAAGGCCTTGAAGGGTCATGCTGAGAAGTTTTCAAATTTGACCTCATTAGTATCATTTTTCAAAATGTGTCATGATAAAGAGTAATTTCTGAAAGATGTTTTGGGTAAGAAAGTTTGTGATATGTGTACAGCCGTTTATTTTTCTTTTGAAATAGTAATTCACAGAACACTTCCATTTTATGAAGTCCTTCAGGAAAGAAACCTGTTTAGCTTTATTTTGTCCACTGTTTCCTAAGCTAGGCAAAAGTGCACTCCAGTTTTTCTGTATGAGAGTTAGTTGGTACAGACTCTGGGAAATTACAGTAGAGAATATGGAGCCACTCACTGATTGTTTAGGATTCTTACATAGATTGGATAAATTGGAGAGACTTAAAAATCCCATTGAGAAAACACAATTGGGCTTTAGTTTGGAATGATTAGGACCTGATGTGAAAGAGGTTAATTTAAATGATGTGGGGGGGGTAACATTTGCATTTTGTTATGTGGAATTTTTCAGTAAATGAGTTCAAAAAAATTTTTAAGCAGTTAAACAATTTCAAAGTTTCAGTCTTGATAGGTTTTACTGAATGTGATGATATTATTGATTACAACTGGAAAACTGAGACACAGTGGTGCCTTTGAATTTGGGGTTAGGACCTTAGATTTCAACATTACCAAATTTCAGTTGTCACAGGTATCAGCCGGAGATACTCTTTAGTTTGCCAATCATAATAGCATTGAAAGTGAGATATTTGGGAAGCGTCAAAAATTTAAGGTGTAAATTTTGGAAAGCTAGTACTTCCTTCTAATATAAAAGTAGAAAGAAAACCTGTAAATAGGAGTGAGAAAGTGACAGATGAGAAAGAAGGGTACATGATAATTTTTTGAGATCCACTCAGATTAAAGAGTGACAGGAAAGATGAATTAGGGCAGTTTTAAGGATAGTTTTGATTATAGGCACAGGGAGGAAGCAAGAGCAATTTGATCATAAATGGAAACATTTAGAGCTCTTACCCAGTACTAATTAAAAAGAAAAATAGTAATTATTGAGTACCTATTTCATGACCATGATAGAGGGCACTTTGTAGAGGCTTAGGATGTGTTAGTGGACCAGATAGGCATTCCTGTTCCCAGACACTACATTTTTAACTTGAGGTGACAAACATTAAACATAAAATAAACATTAAATAATATGTGTTTTAGAAAATGAGAAGTTCTGTGACACAAAGCAAAAGCAGAACCAGCGAAAAGGTAATGCAGGATTAGTTTGATTGAGAGTTAGAATTTTGTACAAAATAAGGTGTAAAAATTACTTCCTAAGTAGGCCTACCAACACAATCTGTACCAGAAGAGAGAAAACAATGAAAAGGAGCCTAACATTTGAGGGTATGATATTTTTGCTTGACACGTAGTATATTTATGTTACTTTGTTTAACCTTTCAAACCGTCCTTTGGGTTAACAGTTAATAGTGTTTGGCCACGGTTTGGTGGCTTATGCCTGTAACCCCATCACTTTGGGAGGCCAAGGTGGGTGAATCACCTGAGGTCAGGAGTTTGAGGTCAACCTGGCCAACATGGTGAAACCCTGTCTCTACTAAAAATACAAAAATTAGCCAGGTGTGGTGTCGGGCGTCTGTAATCCCAGCTACTCGGTGGTTGAGGCAGGAGAACCTGGGAGGTGGAGGTTGCAGTGAGCCAACATTGTGCCACGTCACTCCAGCCTGGGTGACAAGAGCGAGACTCCATCTCAAAAAATATATATTGTTCTTATTTTCTAGAAGAGGTAGATTCCGAAAGCTTACATGAGTCACTCAGGGCCACATGGAAGAGTTAGAATTTGAGCTCAGAACTTTTTGATTCCAAAGCTTTGTGCATATACTAAATTACCTCCCTCAAGAATGAAAATTTCTTGATCTCCTGGATCACTGTTTTTCTTTTCTCCTGCCTTTCTAGTTTTCTTAACAATCAGTCTGTTCCTCTTCTCACATCATGCTTTTCCTCTTGGGTGGTTTCTTCTTTTTTCTTTTTTTGAGATGGAGTTTCACTCTGTTGCCTAGGCTGGAGTACAGTGGCATGATCTTGGCTCACTGCAACCCCTGCCTCCCAGGTTCAGGTGATTCTCCTGCCTCAGCCTCTTGAGTAGCTAGAATTGCAGGTATGCAACACTATGCCTGGCTAATTTTTGGGTTTTTTTTAGTAGACATGGGATTCCAACATTTTGGCCAGGCTGGTCTCGAACTCCTGACCTTAAGTGATCTGCCCGCCTCGGCCTCCCGAAGTGCTGGAATTATAGGTGTGAGCCATTGTGCCTGGCCCTCTCCTGGATGATATCTTTTCCTCTTTGTCTTTAAGGACATTTCCCATACATACATAAACTCTTCTATCCCCTTGCGTATACTCTTCTCATTTTCTCATATTATTTAACAGTTACCACTAATCATCCTGTAGGGTAATTCTTAACCCTGTCTTCTCTTTTCTTCTGTCTGACATAATACAGATTTAAATAACATCCTTCTTCTTTTCAGCCAGTCAGTGGCGGATCCATATTAGTTTTCCCTTGAATCTGCTTCAACTCTCAGATTCTTTATACATAGCTCCATCATGCCTGCAACTCCTTTTCATTCAGACCCATCCTCTCACATTTGAACTTTTGAAGATAGCCTCCTGACTGCTTTATTATATGCATTGTTGCCCAGAGGTCTTTTCAAAGCAGATCTGATCATTCTCCTTCTAGTAATCATGGAAAAAAGTCCAAATTCTTCGGCTTTTCATAAATTATTCTGGGCCCTTTGACTACAGATTATTCTTTGAACCCCTTGACAGTCAACTGTGTATTATTTTTCAGCCACTCAGAATAGTTTATTTTCCATGTTACTTTATTCCTTGGTTGTTTATTTTTGCTGCTTATTTGCGTGGAATTGATGTCTGACTTCACATAACTTCATTTGGTAAGAACTTAATAGGTCCCAGAGAAGGTACTGAAGATAAAAAGTCAGTTAAGACTTTTTTTGGGGAGAGTTGGGGGACAGATTCCAGTTTATCCTGTAAGGCTCATCTCTGATGAAACTTCCTTGATCAAATGATTTTTCTGTAAGATTTTATGGCTTTTCTCTTTTTTAGAAATAATATGTACCCTTTTCTTTTTGCCTTTTTAATTCCCAGCTGAAAATGACTTTCTTTTAAATCTAATTATAAAGGTAATAAATGTTTATTGTCAAAAGTTTAAAATATTTCAGAAACTGTTTAAAGAAAGTGATTCGCACCATCCAGAGATCCCCTCTTGGTTTGCTTAAGACAGTTATTTCCCCAATAAAAGCACTGTGCTCATCTTTGGGAACTCCCACATGTGAATTCCACCAAATCTTTAAGGAAACAATATCAATTTCAGCTATAATATGGCATTCAGGGGAAGGGATAGCTTCCTATAAAAGAGGGAATGAGAAAGGGTGGGGAAATAGGCTAATACATCAAATACTGACAAAGACATTACACACTTATCAGAATGGATAAAATAAAAAATAATGATAGCACCAAATGCCGAGGAGTATGCAGAGAAACTCATACATTGCGTGCGAGAGCAATTGTGAAATAGTGCAGCCATTCTGGAAAAGAGTATGGCAATTTTAACTTAACAGAAACTAAACATGTGCTTACCATGTTACTTATCACTTACACTCTTACCCACTTATCACAGATAAATGAAAACTTAGGCTCATACAAAGACCTATCCACGAATATTTATGGGTACTTTGTTTATAAAAGCCCCAAACTGGAAACAAACTAAATGTTCTTCAATAGATTAATGGCTATTTTTAAAAGATTTATGTTATACAATATCATGTATATCACATTGAAATGAAATTACAGAGAGAACAGATTAGTGATTGTAAGGGTTGGTGGGAGGGAGGTAGCTAGTACTATAAATGGGTTTTAGAAGAGATATGAAGGAACTGTTCTGTATCTTGGCTGGTGGCAGTCACACTAATCTACACCTGTGATAAAATTTTGCAGAGCTAAGTACACATTGCATTCAGTGCGAATAAAATCTGTTTGTGTCAGTTTTCTGTCTGATAGTGTACTACGGTTATACAAAGTGTCAATCATTGGAGGGAAACTGGGTGAAGGGTATAGGGGGTCTCTCTCTCATATTTCATGCAACTCTATGTGAATTTACAATTATCTCAAAAGTAAAAGAAATATTTTTAAAATGCTGACAGCCTTCGTAGTGGATTAAAGCTAGAGAACAATTGTATTTAGAAATATTAATGTTAAATTTTAGTGTAAAATTTTAACATAGTGTCTGCGAGTACTTTAGATGAGTAATGGTCTATGCACAAGAGAGTATTATATTGGAAGTATAAAGATGGTTCAAAATGAAGAAATCTGTTAATTCAATTCTACCATATTAGAAAAGACGTATGATCTTTTCCATAAATACTGAAAAGGATATTAAGTTCAACATCCATTTCTAGCATTTAAAAAAAGAGTTCTTAGTGTGGGCCATATAATGAGACCCAGTCTGTAACAGAAATTAAGAAATTATGTGGGCATGTTTGCACATGCCTGTAGTCCCAGCTACTCGAAAGGCTGAGGTGGGAGGATTGCTTGAGCCCAAGAGGTTGAGGCTTCATTGAGCTGTGATTGTGCGTCTGTATCCCAACCTGTGCAATGGAGTGAGACCCTGTCTCAAAACAAACAAACAAAAAAATTAGCTCCTTAAATATGTGTATTTGTTTATACCCTTATTTATGTACACATACATACACAAGTGCACATAAGTTAAAAGCCAGCGTATGCTTAATAATGCATTAGATGTGTTCCCATTAAGGTTGGGAACTAAGAATATGCATCAACACGTCTATGAGTTAAAATAAATGTTTTGTAAAACTAATAACCATTAACCAGTACAATGTAATTAACAGAGGCATGGAAATTGGAAAGTAGGATGGATACACCATTATTTGCAAATATGATAGCATCATGGAAAACCCAAGAGAATCAATTATAAAATGCTATTTTATTATAATTACCCATTTAATTCTCTAATATGTAAAGTTTAATTGCCTTATTTATAAAGAAGAGCTCCTTAGGTAATCTAATATTAAATAGTCCATTTACAATAATAAAAATGGTAGACGCTAAAAAAAGATAACTAAAATATTAAAAGGCATAAAATGAGCCTTAAATGAAAAAAATGACATTCTTGGATAGAAAGCCTCACCCTTATAAAATGCCTTTTCTTCTTCTTTACTGCTGCTGCTGCTGCTCCTCCTCCTCCTCCTCATCTTCCTCCGCCTCTGCCTCATCGCACCCCTCCCCCACCTCCACCCCCACCTGACCCCACCCCTACCCCAGGCTGGAGTTCAGTTCCACAGTGGGGTTCACTGCATCCACTACCTCCCAGGTTCAAGTGATTCTTCCACCTTGTCCTCCTGGCCAGAGCCACCTCATCCAGCTAAACCTCTTTTTTTCTTTATATATGAAGCATAAAGAATAATAGCAAAAAAAATTTTTTTTAATTAACGTAGGCTGATAGTTTATATAAGAAATTAACATAAAAGAGTAGGCAAGACAATTCTTTAAAGGAAACAATGAAAACAGACTATCCATAATAAATATTAAAATATATTACAAAGTTAAAAGATTTAGAATAGTTTCATATAGTTACGTAGACAAAAAGTAGGACAGAAGAGAGTCCAGAGATGTTTCCCAAAACATATGGGACATCAGTAAATTTTTTTTTACTCTTATCTTTTTTACCCGTGTTCCCCTGCAGTGTATGCCAAGAAAAATTTTACGTTAATATTTCGTATTAGTGGGGAAAAGATTCATTATGCATTACATTAACTAGCTACTTTTTTTACTCATGCTTGTAATCCCAGCACTTTGGGAGGCCAAGGTGAGTGGATCACTTGAGGCCAGGAATTTGAGACCAGCCTGGCCAACATGGTAAAATCCTGTCTCTACTAAAAATACAAATATTAGATGGGAGTAGTGGTGCTCTCCTCTAGACCCAGCTGCTCGGAGCCTGAGGCATGAGAATCGCCTGAACCAGCAAGGCGGAGGTTGTAGTAAGCGGAGATCATGCCACTGCACTCCATCCTGGGCAACAGAGCAGGACTCTGTCTCCAAAAAAAAAAAAAAAAGTAAAAGCGCTTACATCAAACTGCAGTTGGATCAAAGATTTACTTTGATACGTAAGATGATGACAGTATTCTTTAAGTGTGAAGAATGTTTTTGTAAAATTTTAGGTTGAGAAGTCTTTCCCAATCAGGAAGACATTTGACTGCATAAAAAGTATTAATGCATAAGCATTTTGAGTGTCTTTTTTTTTTTTTTTTTTTGGGACGGAGTTTCGCTCTTGTTGTTACCTAGGCTGGAGTGCAATGGCGCAATCTCAGCTCACCGCAACCTCCGCCTCCTGGGTTCAGGCAATTCTCCTGCCTCAGCCTCCTGAGTAGCTGGGATTACAGGCATACACCACCATGCCCAGCTAATTTTTTGTATTTTTAGTAGAGACGGGGTTTCACCGTGTTGACCAAGATGGTCTTGATCTCTTGACCTCGTGATCCACCCGCCTCAGCCTCCCAAAGTGCTGGGATTACAGGCTTGAGCCACTGCGCCCGGCCTTGAGTGTCTTTTTTAAGAAAATTGTTAAGCTATGTGATATAGATTAAGTTTCTTATATAAGGAACTCTAATAAAAAATAAGAAGCCTCAATAACCCAAAATATAAATTGGAAAATAGTATGATTAGGTAGGTTATAGAGAAAGAAGTAGAGATGACTTTTAAACATATGAAAATGGATACAACTACACTTAGAGGAAAAAAATTAATCCCACCAACTTTCATTTCACATTGGGAAGGTTGATCACTTTAATTACCATGTTAGGCTTTTGACATGATATATTGTGTGTGTTTCGAAATGGGGAATAATCCCTATGCTTTGATGGTACTGTTAACTAGTCCAGCCTTTCTGGAAGTCAGTCTAATATTAATTGTCAAAATTTAAATCTGTATGCCTTTTGACACATCAAGTTCATATCTAAGAATTTGCCCCCATAATAATTCCATAGACATACAGACATGAGTATAGCGATGTTTCTTGCAGAGTTCCTTTCAAATTATTACTAGGTTGACTTTTAAAGCCAAATGATGTTATTTGTAATGTAGTACTTAAATGTTTTTCTTGTTATTTTAGCCAAAACTGGACAAACCAAGGCATCTGTAGCCAAAGTAAACAAATCTGCAGGTATGTTTTTTTAAGATTAGGATTCTAGACTATCAGTTAACTTTAATTTATTTAATAATTATATGGCAGTAGTCTTGGATTTCATGTGACATAGTCTATATTAAATGCATGCTAATCTTTGAGATTTATAATCATCTAGCAGTTTAGAGAAATGGTATATACTAGATAATGCTCTTTATTGCAATCATTTAACTGGATAAAATATTTCTCATGATGAATAACACATATTTTCCTTTTTCTTTTATTGAGTTCTCTTCTTCCTGCTTTCTTTTACACAATAGTTTAAATAATAAACATGAGCCCTTGTAGTTTTTGTGAGCTACAGTGGAATTTTAAGTAATTATTTTTTCTCTTTTCCCTGGCATAATCTTTTACAGTTTTTCTCCGATTTCTACTAAATCTTCATTAATTCAGGGTCATCTGTTAAATGAGTAGAGATCAATGTATTAAATTATCTTTGGAGCCGGGCATGGTGACTTACACCCGGTAATCCCAGCACTTTGGGAGACCGAGGCGGGGTGGATCACCTTAAGTCAGGATGTCAAGTCCAGCCTGGCCAACTGGTGAAATCCTGTCTCTACTAAAAATACAAAAAAATTAGCCAGGAGCTGGTGGTGCACACCTGTAATCTCAGCTACTCGGGAGGCTGGGTTAGGAGAATCCTTTGAACCCAGGAGGCAGAAGTTGCAGTGAGCCGAGATGCACCACTGCACTCTAGCCTGGACGACAGAGCCAGACTTGTCTGAAGTAAATAAATAATCTTTCATATAATATTAAAAAGGAAAGGAAACAGCCTTGAACTGGTAAAAATCATTGTTAGTGGCAGTTTCAGAATTTTCATATAGTAGTTTCTTAGAAGCAGTAATTTGAGTGGCCAGGAAACTTGTCTTGAAGCTGCATTAATTTTGCTGACACTTTGATACTAAGTGTATGGCAGTCATTTGGGATGTGGTAAACTGGCTGTAACACTGATGGCCACCCCTTTGCTGTTGGAAATTAATGCTGGCTATTTTTTATTTTTTCCCTAAGTTCTAGTACCCAGATAGAAGTTATGAAATGAATTGACTTGTGATAATAACATAGGATAGTGAAAGAAATACCTTAAGGGCTCACTGAGGCTCAGTTTACTACAGTGTGGCAAAAGTCGTGAATGACCAAGAATTGACAAGTTGGGTGTGACAAGCTGTAAGGATTTGTATTGCTCTTTTTGGAGCAAAGTATTATGGACTATCTTGAATATAAAAGGGGGATTTGTAAACTATTTCAGTTGATTTTTGTAGATGTTTAATGATTTTTTTTTTTTTTGTATTTTTAAACGTATGATTATATTCTTAAAATGTTCCTGTTAGGTAATTTCGGCAATCACCACCCTTATATTTAGGGAAATGTGTACACAAATCTGTTAGTGCCCCAAAGCTTCTTGATACAAATTGGAATTCAATTTAGATCTATTGATTTTTTTTTTATCTTGGGCTTTTTCTTCATCCATTCTCTCTAGTTGTTATGAATCCTAATTTCAGAGTTAAATCTGTTTCTCTCTGAATGGAAAGAGTTTGGGCTCTCTGACGATCTGCAACCCTTTGATGACCACATCTTTATAAATAGCACCATCTTGGAAAATAGGCCATAATAATAGATATGTAGGTACAAATAATGGTGAGAGCAATTTAAATAGTCTTGTACAGCTAGGAAACTGTAGGAATGAGTTAAAACAATCTTTATATGATCTGACCATGATATAAGTGTTCTTGAATACATTTTAATAAATTAGGAGCCATGGAAGCATGGGTTGGGAGGATCTAGGTTTAAGTGCTTTTGGACTTGCTAAAAGTATGGGATTGTTTTATGTCCTTGGAATTAGTAATTTTGTTTCTAGTTGATCCACACATTCAGAAATTTATTTAACTTGCATGAATGCTGTTTTAAGTATAGGTTGAATATCCCTTACCCAAAATGGTTGGGAGCAGAAGTGTTTTAGATGTTGGAATATTTGCATATATATAATTTGATACTGGGGGTGGGAGCCAAGTCTAAATGTGAAATTCATTTCTATTTCATATACAACTTATATACATAGCCTGAAGGCAATTTTATACAATGTTTTAATAATTTTGCACATGAAACAAAGTTTTTTTTAAGTATACTTAGGTGGGAATTTTCCACTTGTGGTGTCATGTCAGCAGCACTCAGGGTTTCAGGTTTTGAAACATTTCAGATTTTGGATTTTCAGATTAGGGGTGTTTGATCTATACCTCAGTAGGGAGGTGAAATCTTATTTCAGTGATACCTTTTTTTTTAATGAAGAAATTACCATCATTGCTAGATTTAGAAAATGGCCTATGTCCCCAAAGATTATAGCATTTTACATTTTGAATAAAATATAGTCTATTCTTACATTTTTTTCTGTGTGAGGTTCTTTGGGGATTGTTGATACTAGTTAAGTAAACCAGTTTTGACTGTAGCTTTTGTGATTTAGGGAAATCAGCAAGTTCTGTAAAATCTGTGGTAACAGTAGCTGCTAAAGGTAATAAAGCTTCAATCAAAACAGGTAAGACTACTGGGGAGGAGAGATTTTATTTATTCTTTATTCACGTTTTAAATTCATATAATTATTGTTAGCATCTAATACTTCAAGAGTTTAGTAGATACTTCTTTGATATTTAAAACCTGACCCATTTTGTTGGAATTTTTTTTGCTACTTTGGTCTTTGGCAGGTAATTTGTGTGCATGAAAACAATTACATATATGTATATACAGCTATATAACTACATTTTTGACAGCTTTGTAATCACAGGTTGCTCTGTCATTTCCCTCCGTTGAATGGTTTAATCTTTGTTTTCCTTTTTTTTTTTAAGAGCTGTCAATTCATATTGTCTTCTCCAGTTTGTATAATTTCTTAGATGCTTGTTACTTTTAAAAAGATTATGTTAGGAGTGCATTTGTTTTCAGTAAAGAAATGGAACACTATTTAAATGTAGCACCTTGGAACTAGAGCCATCTTTTTAGTTGTATCTTTCCTAATAGACTAATCCTAAAGAATCTTTGCAGAAATTACATAGTAATATTTTAGTGTGTGTGATTATGATGTTGATATGCCACATGAAGGTTAAACATGCGGCTCATTAAAGGGCATCACCAAAAAATTGTATCTTGACTTAAATTTGCTTTTTGTCTTACTGGGAAAGAGGTACTAAAGATAAATAAAAATACTGAATATTGAAAAAGAGCTGCTTTTGTAATAAAGTCAAACTAATTTACTAATACATTAGTGTGAAACATGCCAAATGATTAACAGACCTTTAGAGTAATGGCTCACTGTACTTTTAGCAAAATCTGGTGGAAAGAAGTCTCTAGAAGCCAAAAAGACTGGAAATGTCAAAAACAAAGACTCTAACAAACCTGCTACTGTACCAGGTAAGCTTGAAATGTGGTCATTCAGTGCTTGCTTTTCTTTTTTTAACTTTTTATTTTAAGTTTAGTGGCACGTGCAGGCTTGTTACATAGGTATACGTGTGTCATGGGGGTTTGTTGTATAGATTATTTCATCACCCAGGTATTAAGCTTAGTACACATTAGTTATTTTTCCTGATCCTCTCCCTCCTCCCACCCTCCAGTAGGCCCCAGTGTGTGTTGCTCCCCTCTATGTGTCCATTTATTTTCTTTAGATCATCTTGAAGATATATTCTGAATCTTTTGCCTAAAAATTACTAAAGTGGGGATTGCTGTTTTGTTTTTCAAAGAGAGATGTTTGACTTAGGTCAGCCTAAGGAGACTTGAAATGTCAAAATAAACTAACTTAAGTTCCTGTTTAGGTTCATTATTTCAATTATATTAGTGTTTTGCTAAACTATTAAAGCAGACTATTTCATGCAGAAAACTCTGAAGTAAAGACCAGTATGGAAGCCAAAGCCACTGAAAACTGTGCTAAAGAAGTTGTTTCTGGTAGGTCAATAGGAACTTTATTTTGTTCTTTTATGTTTAAAGGTGGAAGGAAAATTAAAATTTTTAGAAAATAAATACTTAATTTTGTATCCCCCCCAAAATATTTACTTATTTTAATTACCAATGCGCCATACCTAAGTGAAATTAAGAATATTATGATTCATGTCTTTACTATGTCTCTTAAGATGAAATTTTGATCTCAGAAAGAATGAAAATGTTTTTTTAAAAGTCAGTGTCACTTTTATAGTTATTTTGTACTAATTATCTAGTATTTTGTTGTATTATACATTTTCATGTACCTACTATTTAATCTACTGTGGACTAAAGTGGGATCTTAATAAATATACCTGCATCATTTTAAATTTTATTTTGTGTTAAGAAGCTGCTTTGGAGACCACAGAAAATGAACCAGTTAGCAAGGTGAGTTTTCATATTTTATTTCTTAAAGCTCAAGAAATTTTAACAAAAATATTTTTCTCATAAACCCAGGTAAAAACTGCACAGCATTTGGCATGCTAGAAATTCCAGTCATTTGTGGCTTTTAAAATGGAAAAGAGAAAAAAATTTGATTTTTGGGTCAAAAACCCTGAGGTGCAGAGTAAGTCACAAAAATTAGGAACAGATCATCAACAAATGTACATGTTTTTATTGAAGATTACTTTTCATTGAGAACATGTTTAAGCCAAAATGGTTTTGGGTAGACAATATTGGTCAAATTAGAATCAGTAGAATTTAGTAAAATCTATATTTTTTCTTAGAGGTAAATGAAAGATATGTTAATAGTTACCAGTTGTTTGCATTTTCAGTGAAGCAAGTGGAGTTTGCAGTTTTACTTAAAGGACATAAAGTTCACTTAATATATTCTTTTCTTGTGTTTTTATCTATTACTATGACTATATTACATTGTCATTAATTTACATTTTATTGGTGTAGATTTTGAGATCATTCGGGTGTTGAGCATAAGTTTATTTTTGTCTGGTAGACCCATTCTTCAAGTAGTAACTAAGTAATAAGTCTTATTTTAGGAAGAGTATTTTATAGCACCAATTTAGTGTAAAGTCACACTAAACTGGTTTATGAAAATTGTAACTTCCTTTTTTACCCCCCAAGAGATAAAAAATTGCCAGGTTGACTATAGCACATCATTTTTAGAAATTTCCCCAGTAACTATGAAAGGAATAATTGGCATTGATGAGAGAGTCATCTTGAGAAATAAAATAGATCTGAGAAAAAGGATAGCAGAAAACAAAATGCTTAATTGCATTGAGGATTGGGTTGTGGGGTAAAGACTCTCAGGAACTTTTTTATTATATATTGCCTAAAAGTGATTATCTTATTTGGGGAGATAAAAGGCTACACACTGTTAATGGAGCTTGGGGATATTATCACGAGGCATGGGAATGGCGACAGTATATTAAAGGAAGGAGTTGTAGTCAGAAACAGATGAACTTGTGTTTTAAAACAGTGGGTGACAGCTGCTCGAGTCGCTGAGACACAAGAATCACTTGAACCCGGGAGACAGAGGTTGCTGTGAGCCAAGATCGTACCACTGCACTCCACCCTGGGCAACAGAGCAAGACTGTCTCCAAAAACAAAAGCAAATGCCCGCCCCCCTCCCCTCAAAAAAAAAAAAACCCAAAGTAAAAGAAGAGTGAATGAAAAAGATACCAGCAGACCTGGACTAGGTGACAGATGGCATAACTACAATTTGTCCTTGCACTCCTGAAGAGTGTTAATTTACAAGCTTTTTTGGTTTTCTTTTTAATTTGAGGTTCAGACCGGCTTCCTAAATTTATCAGACTTTCCTCAGTATTAAATGCAACTATATACTAACATAATATGACATGCAGTATAAACTTAAGTAAATATAAAAGCAATTAAAGAAATTTTAATATCGGGTTTTAAAAATTTGTTTTGAAGGAAACAGAAGAAATGTGTGTGATGCTTATCTCTAATTTGCCTAATAAAGGATATTCTACAGAAGAAGTTTGTGACTTAGCAAAACCATTTGGTGGCTTAAAGGACGTCTTGATTTTCTCATCTCATAAAAAGGTAAGAGTTGATAATAGCTGTTCATATCCTCTGCAAGCATGCTTTGAAAAACATTAAATGTTTTTCAGAACTAGAAAGAAAGGGTTTAAAAGCAGTATCTCAAAGTAAACTTTCAAGCTTTGAGGGATTTTAAAATATTAAACACAGATATCCTTTATTTTAGTATTGTAATCAATCAGGCATAATAGTGTTTATGATGGGGACAAATGGCTTTCTAATGTGTCAAAGTTTTACTCAATTTTTGTTAAATAGGAAATGTTTTATGTCTTCAATATATTTAATAAAGTGTTCTATAAATTACTTAATAAGATTTTGTAGATCACTCTTCTAGTTATATTTCATACTCTTTCTCCTCTTTTACCAGTGATATTCAAATGGGAAGTAACCATTTTCAGACTCAGACTAATGATGTCGTCAGTACTTAAAACACTCTGGGTTTATCTTTATGTTCTAAATTTTCTATAAGTATGTGTTGGGACAACACATTAACACATTGTTTATAGTCAACTTGTAGAAAGTATGTTTAGTTGAGCGAGATTTCAGGAAGTAGTTTAAATAACGGAAATAGCACCTTTAGAATAGTGGAAGAAGGGTTCTTATGACAGAAAGGAGTTAGCAGTCACCAGAGATCTTTGAAAGTAAAATAGGATGTATGTTTTGAAGCATTTGGAGCCAGTGTGTTCGAGAAAATGGTAGAGGAGAATGAGTACAGGTGAGTTACATGTAATTTCACATTGTGTTAAAAGTAGATTATTTGAATGATTGCAGAGCTCAGTAAATACACTAAAAACCATTGCATTATGTATAATGGTTGAACTTTAAGCCTAAGTTATCTGCCCAGTTTTGAGTGGAGTTGAGTAAAATCATTAAAATATTGGGAGATTTAATGCAAATGCATTAAACATTTATGAAATTAAAATTAACATAAATTAAAATGAAAATTTAAAAACTGAAGAGTATTTGTTTAAAATGGGAAACAGGATTCACATCTACATTATGCTGTAACACATTAAAACTACAATAGACAACCTTAAGAGATAATTCACCGTTGGGCACGGTGGCTCACGCCTGTAATCCCAGCACTTTGGGAGACTGAGGTGGGTGGATCACGAGGTCAGGATTTCGAGACCAGTCTGGTGAACATGGTAAAGCCCCGCCTCTACTAAAAATATAAAAAATTAGCCAGGCATGGTGGCGCACGCCTGGAATCCCAGCTGCTCTGGAGGCTGAGGCAGGAGAATTGCTTGAACCCAGGAGGTGGAGGTTGTGATGAGCAGAGATCATACCCACTGCACTCCAGCCTGGGCAACAGAGCAAGACTCCATCTCCAAAAAAAAAAAAAAAAAGCCAGTGGCAGTGACTCACGCCTGTAATCCCAGCAGTTTGGGAGACTGAGGTGGGTGGATCACAGGGTCAGGAGTTTGAGACCAGTCTGGCCAGCATGGTAAATCCCCATCTCTACTTGAAATACAAAAAATTAGCTGAGCATAGTGGCGGGTGACTGTAGTCCCAGCTATTTGGGAGGCTGAGGCAGGAGAATTGCTTGAACCCGGCAGGTGGAGGCTGCAGTGAGCCAAGATCTCACCACTGCACTCCAGCTTGGGAAACAGAGCAAGACTCCATCTCAAAAAAAAAATAGAGATAATTCATTTAAAAATAGGCTTACAATTATAAGCAAACACATAGATTTCTATCTCATTAATTATCAAATATGCAGAAGTTTCAATCTCTTTACTTACCAAGGTGTGAAAATTAAAAGCAAAATGTATGGAGCTACAGTTTTACACCTATTAAAATAACAAAATGAAAAAAGACTTCACAATTACACGTTTCTTTGCTTCTTTCATTTCTCATATTTTTCATATTTTATCAATTTATTTACTCAAATATTAATATTGATTAGAAATATATCTGCTACATATACTGCTACAGTGTATCTGCTATAGTTACTACCCTAAGGATACAGTGTTGAATAAGATTTTCTTAATGTCATTTGCTAGACTAACCCTTTTTTTCTCTCTCTTTAGTTTGCCTTAGTATAGTAAGTTTAGTCATTCATTATTTCTCACCTATGGTTATAATATTCTTAGTGTGTGGGCCTCAATTTTCTGAGGACTGCATTTTTTAATCTTAAAAATATTTACTAAGTTGTTTATACATGTAAGTCAATTTTTGAGAAAAAGTAACAAGGTTTATTTTTTTATTAAAGGCATATATAGAAATAAATAGAAAAGCTGCTGAGTCTATGGTAAAATTTTATACCTGCTTCCCAGTATTGATGGATGGAAATCAACTCTCAATAAGTATGGCTCCTGAAAACATGAATGTAAAAGATGAGGTAAATCAGACCGCCATTTTTACTAGTATTTTACTAGTTAAAAGTGTTTCACCATTTTTTACCGAGTTTTTAAATCAAATTTGTTATAGTTTGTGTTATGTTTTCTAGTTTTCATTTTGCATCATATTTTTCTCACAGACACTGAGAAAGCTTCCTTTCCCTCCAACAATCACCCAGTCACCCATTCCATTGCTTGAGAGTTACTTTCATAGTGAGAGAATCCTATTCTTCATGTGTATGTTTGAATGGAAAAAAGATTGAATTTGTTCTTTTAAAACCAGGCTTCTCTCTACTCTTTTTGCCATTATCTGTAATCTAAACTAGAATTCTGGAAGCTATCTTTAGTTTTTTTTCTGTTGTTTCTTACATTCGGCTCCTTGCTAGATCTTGTTTATTTTAACTCTGTCAGCTCGTTCCCTCTTCCTCATCCCACATACCATATTGCTTTATCTCTTAAAAACTCTTACTGGTCCAGGTGTGGTGGCTCACGCTGGTGATCTCAGCACTCTGAGAGGCTGAGATGGGAGGATTGTGTGAGCCCAGGACTTCAAGACCCAAGCCCAGCCTGGGCAACAAAGTGAGACCCCATCTCTACAAAACTTAATTAGCTGGGCATGGAGGCACATGTGTTCCCAGCTCCTCGGGATGCCGAGGTAGGAGGATCCCTTGAGCCCAGGAGTTCAAGGCTCCCCTGAGCTGTGATTGTGCCACTGAACTTCAGCTTGGCTGACAGAGGGAGACCCAGTCTCAAAAACAGCCCTCTTCCTGGACCAGAACTAATTGTCTTTTGTACACACTACCTTCAATTTGATAAAACTCCCTCAAGTTCTCAGCTTTTATGTGAAGTACACACCCTTCATTGCCTCTCTGTGGCCTATAAATATTTACAGTCAACTGCTGAGAAGCATAAGGTAGAAATATTTTATCCTTTCTAGAGGCAGGTAGAAATGCATGTAACGTATAAATGCCTTTCATTGAGAATCATTCTAATGTGATATAATTGGTGAGATTGTTTTATACATGTTAGTAGTATCGATAAGAAAAAAAATGAGGATCCTCAGTCTTATAAGATAAAGTCGGCCGGGCACGGTGGCTCACCCCGCCTTGGGAGGCCAAGGCGGGCGGATCACGAGGTCAGGAGATTGAGACCATCCTGGCCAACATGCTGAAACCCCTTTTCCACTAAAAATGCAAAAAGTAGCTGGGCATGGTGTTGGATGCCTGTAATCCCAGGTATTCGGGAGGCTGAGGCAGGAGAATTGCTTGAATGTGGAAAGCGGAGGTTGCAGTGAGCTGATATTGTGCCACTGCACTGCAGCCTCGAGACGGAGCGAAACTCTGTCTCAAAAAAAAAAATAAAAAAAGAAGATAATGTCCAAGTTCCTTTGCCTGCACACAGAGCCTTCTATTAGTTGTCCTCTGCCTGCTTTGATATCCTTGTTTCATGATGTTCTTCATCTTTTCATAATTCAGTAGCACCAAATCTGTATCTTTATGCACTGTGCTGTTTTATTTGCCTACATCTCTGTTCTTCCTCATCTCCTACTTTGCTTAGTTAACTTTTGTAGTTTGAATTCTCTTCTGTTGTCTAAATTAAATCTCTTTATTTCTTATATGTGAATTTGAATGTCTTTCCTAAATGGTACTGCCTTATTAGTCTTTTATGTTCTTAGGGGAATAAGAATTATATGGATTAGGATGAGATTTGTTTAGGAGAGAGAGAGATTTTTGGAAGGAACATCACTTTTGCTGCTTCTTAATTTTGTGAAATACTTTAATGCATATTTGTATAGATTGTCATATTATAAATCTTAAGTAAGTATGTGTATGAGAAAGAGCTTATACCATCAACCTGTATCTATTTTTGGCTTTTTAGGAAGCTATATTTACAACCTTGGTAAAAGAAAATGACCCAGAGGTGAGTTTTGCATGTAAATACTCTTGTATACTTTTTTAATTGATGGAAACATTGATTGTTTTACTTTATTTGTTCACCTTTTAGGAATTAAAACTTTAGAAGTAATTTTAAGATATTGAGGTGATGGAGATGTCAGATGGGTCTTCTTGGTAAAAATACAAAAATAAATGGTTATTGTAGTCTTTGATGCGAAAAATTTTTCGGGTACTGGATTGCATACTAAGTGGTCTAATAAGTCAATATTCTGCCTGAGGATGTTTTGGGTAAATGTTACATTGATAGTAGAAATACTGTACTGCCCATTTTAGTACATCGTTTTGCTGATTATGTGTATGTAAAATTAAGAGCCCACTGTCATCCCCGTGTAGTCATTTTCTTACTCTTGGGAGAGGACATCATCTGACCTCTGTAATACTAAATTAATGTTAATCTGTTTTACCATTTGTTGCTTCATCTGTGGTTTTTTTTTTTTTTTTTCTATGCTGTCTCTTAAAAAAAAAAAAAAAAAAACTGCAGGCAAACATAGATACAATTTATGATCGATTTGTACATCTTGATAATTTACCAGAAGATGGACTTCAGTGTGTACTTTGTGTTGGACTTCAGTTTGGAAAAGTGGATCACCATGTATTCATAAGTAATAAAAACAAGGTAACAAGTTCCCTGGTAATTTAGCTATGCGTTCTATAGAGAATATATAATAACCCTATATTCTTAAGATGTGCAACTTCTAACTCAGCTTCTGATCTGAAGCATCTATAAACATTACTGAGCCACTTTGCAGAATTATGATAAACCAGAATATTTTCTTTTGGACTGTGCCGAGAAAGGAGAGATGATCTCTTTTTCAGAAGTTCTAGTTTTTAAGGAGAAATAAGACTTAAACAAGGTGGGAAGGGTAATACAGTGTAGACAGCATTATCTTTTTGGTGAGTTTAGACCTGGATTCCTTTGGCTCTGATCTTAACTATCTTTGTGGTCTTGGCTAAGTTGGTTTATACTTAATTGTAAAACGAAAGGGGTATACCTAATTTTTTTTTTCTTTTTTTTTTTTTTTGAGATGGAGCGTCACTCTGTCGCCCAGGCTGGAGAATAGTGGCGTAATCTCAGCTCACTGTAGCCTCCACCCCTCGGGTTCAAGTGATTCTCCTGAGTAACTGGGATTACAGGCACATGCCACCATGCCTGGCTAGTTTTTGTATTTTTAGTAGAGATGGGGTTTCAACATTTTGGCTAGGCTGGTCTTGAACTCCTGACCTCGTGATCCGCCCACCTCAGCCTCCCAAAGTGCTGGGATTACAGGCATGAGCCACCAATTACCTAATATTTCTTTAAGTCCCTTCCCGCTATGAAACACTTGAGTTAGGTCTATTTGTTTGTTTATATGGAAAGAGACGGGTATAAATAAAATAATTGCTGGGTACAGTGGCTCACACCTGTAATCCCAACACTTTGGGAAGCTGAGGCGAGGGGATTGCTTGAGTCCAGAAGTTGGAGACCAGCCTGGGCAACATAGTGGGATGCTGTCTCTACAAAATGTTTAAAAATTAGCTGGGCAAGGTCGTATGTGCCTGTGGTCCCAGCTGCTGCGGAGGCTGAGGCAGGAGGATGGCTTGCGCCCAGGAGTTGGTGGGTGTAGCGAGCTGTGTTCACGACACTACACTCTAGTCTGGGTGACATAGCGAGATCCTGTCTCAAAAATAAAATAATCATTCCTTAATTTTCTGATTTGGCCTCTTTAAGAAACAAAAATTACTTCTCCATGTACATTTGATATGCCTTCTGTATTTAATATGTATTTCAGCTATATGTTCATTAAAATTAAATTTTTATCAGCCATATATTACCTAGAAAGGCAGGGGTTTATATGAAAGTGGGCAATATTTACTTCATAAAGAGCATTTAATTAAACAACTAGATAATTTATTTGATATGTTTCTAACTGATAAATAGAGCTTAGAATGGAATATGATAAATAGTGAGACATAGAATGATGAATAGTGTGACATAGAATGGAAGGTGGGGCACAACAGATGACACATAGGAATTCTCAACTTTCTTGCAAACATCTTTAATCCTCTATTAAAAAAATAACTGTCATTCTCTTCAGTTTTGCCTTGCCTTTACCTTTTAAGGATTGTTTTCTCTTGTTTCCTTGATATAAGGATTAACCTTACCTTTGTAATCACATCTGAAACCTGAAAGAAAAATACATTCCAAACTTGTAAAGAATTAACATTTTTATTTCAGTAAAATGCACAGATTTTACCATTTGTAAGACACAAATTTAACATTTTAACCATGTTAGTTAGTTCAGTGATATTAAGCGCCTTCACATTGTGCAGCCATCACCACCATCCATTTCCATTTTCATCTTCTGGAACTGAAGCTTTCTATCCTTTTGACAATAACTCATTATTAATTCAGCTCTTGTCAACCATTATTTCTGTTTTTATAAATTTACTCTAGTTACTTCATGTATGTGGAATTGTATTTCCTTTTTTGTGACTGGCTCATGTCACTTAGCATAATGTCTTCAAGGTTCATCCGTGTTGCAGCATGTGTCAGATTTTTCTTCCCTTTTAAAGCCAAGTAATATTCTGTTTTACTCATGTAACACATTTTGATACCCGCTCATCCGTTGATGGACAGTTTTGGGTTGCTTCTGCCTTTGGTCTGTTGTGAATAATGCTTCTTTGAACATGGATGTACAAATCCATGTTCAGCTCTTGGCTTTCATTCCTTTTAGGTATGTACTAAAAAGTGGAATTTTTGGATTATGTGGTTATTCTAATTTTAACTTTTTAAAGAACTATTCATAACTTTTTAATCTTCTCCTAAGGCGATTCTTCAGTTAGATAGTCCTGAATCTGCTCAGTCAATGTACAGCTTTCTGAAACAAAATCCACAAAACATTGGTGACCATATATTGACCTGTACATTATCTCCAAAGATAGACTTACCAGAGGTAAGATTTCTCTTGTGTCGGCTTTTATGCTTTTAGAAAATACAGAAAACATAAAGGTCATTCTCAGGCAGTAATCAGACTGTTTATGTGTTTAGAGATGATTTTTACTATTTGTTTTGCAATCAGTATTCCAATTTTCATAGTTTATGAAGCAGTATAAATTTGAATCCATTTTGGCTTCCTCTGGGTAGAAAGAATTTTGTTTATTTTTGTTTCAGTTATATTTATTACAAACTGTTTTTGTGTTATGAAATAAGATTTCATAGATTCTTGGCTTACACAGTAGTACATGTAGGAAAGCTATGAATAGTCTGCCTTTGAAAGCATTAAATTTGAACTCAGATATTTTCTCCTTCTATTCCATTGTATGCTACTAGCAGAGGTATATAATAGGACCTTATATCTGGTGTCCATATGTTTTTTGTTAATATGTTAAAAATCTTGCACTATTTAAAGAAAAAGGCAATTTCATCATCTAAATCCAAATTAGAGTGTCTGTAAATAAATGTATTATGATAGGTATCAGCTTCAACACAAATGAGTGGCTCATTTCACCTGATAATTTCAGAAAAAAATGTAAACGTTTTTAGCTGCTCCCCAGCAGAGAATGCATTTTAAAATTTTCGTGATTTATATTTTTCAAGTTCTTACTATGTTCAACTAAGTTCAAAATTAAACACTGACTGTAGTCTTTATTCCAGAAATACAGTCCCAAATTCTTAGAGATAAAGAAAATTAAACAAGTGAAAATTTACATAAACTTCTGCCTGAATTGATACGTCACATCCTAAGCTCTTACCCAGAACTTTATTTGTATAGCTTAAGTTGGATAACACATTTGACTTATTTATAACAGTTTTCAATTGACTGCTATTTAAAATGAGTTAGTAAATCAACTCTATATTATTCTCTCTTCAACATCTGTGGTTTTTGTTAACCTGAAATGTTACTTCTTGTGTAGTATGTGTGATCTTTATTTCAGTATCTATAGTTAGCTTGTGTACAAAGCATGTAGCACTCCATTCTAAATACTGAAAATTAGTATCTGCATTTTTGATATCATTATTATGAAGATATTTACTGCAGAATTAAGTAATAATGAGAATGGGTTTATAAAGAAGCGAATATGTGTAATATGTGTTCATAACCTGTACACTCACAGGTGAGTTTCTTATATTCCCAGTCATTTGTCAAAGTGCAGCCACATTTTTGTTTCCATAAGTTTATGGCTTTCTTGTATGGTTTAGGGTTTGTATTTTGTTGTTGAAAGGGAGGAAAAAATGGCAGTCTTCATGTTACTTTGATCATCTGTGTAACTTAATGGAATCTCCTTTCAGAGGTATTTTTGTGACTCTTAATTTGTGACCATTTGTTTTGTCAAACAGTTACACATCTTGGAGTGTTTTTTTTTTTTCTTTCATTGTTTTTCTGAGTTATGTCTGCTTTTTCTTGGGTTCTTTATCTGTCACATCACAGATTGTTTTTCTGTTTGCTAGAGTACATTCTCAAATTTTTTTTTTACCCCCAGAAAGTCTGTGTAGGCAGTACATTTTCTGAGTCTCTGGATGTTTGAAACTGACTTTATTTTGCTCTTATGTATTTCATTGATTGATTGTCTACGTATAAAATTCTGTGCTTAGGTTATTTTTCCTGTCACCTGGGCTGGAGTGCCATGGTGCAATCATGGCTCACAGCAGCCTCAACTCCTGGGCTCAAGTGATCCTCCCACTTCAGCCTCCAGAGTAGACTACAGGTGCATGCCACCATTCCCGGCTAATTTTATTTTATTTTTTGATTTTTTATGTTTGTGTAGATGGGGTCTCATTGTGTTGCCCAGGCTGGTCTCAAACTTCTGGCCTGAAGTGATCCTGCAGCCTGGGCCTTCCCAAGTTTTGGAATTACAGGTGTGAGCCACTGTACCTGGCCCTAAACTAGTATTTATCTAATTCCTTTTCTCTATGCTAACCCTATTTTATGGGTTGGAATACCATGATGAACATTGTTTCAGTATCTTTGTTCAGATTATATTTTATTGGAGGACATAGACTATAAACAGATACAGGTGGTAAAATGACTGTGAATAAATAAGGTAAAAAAGAGACTGATTAATATGAGGGATGTGTATCTTAAAGTGGCCACTGGTAGTCCCCCAGCAGAAGAGTTATATGAGAGACCTGATAGAAGTAAGAGAGCAAGCTCTAAGAAAATATCAAGGAGAAGAGATTTTCAGACAGAAGAATCAGATCAAAAGCTTTAGGGACATATTTGATGATTCAAGAAAATTTCCAAAGATAGGGTTGGTATTGCTAGTCCAGTGAGTAAGGTTTTATCTTGGGTTGGGACTCATTTCCCACATCCTGCTTAGAGCAGAATGATTTTTATAAAATTGAAAGTTGAGGTAGGTTTTTTTTCCCCCTCCACATAAGGGAAGTATTTTTTTTTTCTTTTCTTCTCCAAGATGAAGTCTTGCTCTGTTGCCCAGGCTGGAGTGCAGTGGTGCGATCTTGGCTCACAGCAACCTCCACCTGCCGGGTTCAAGCAATTTTCCTGCCTCAGCCTCCCAAGTAGCTGGGACTACAGGCGCACGCCACCATGCCCAGCTAGTTTCCGTATTTTTAGTAGAGATGGAGTTTTACCATGCTGGGCAGGTTGATCTGGAACTCCTGACCTCGTGATCGGCCCACTTCAGTCTCCCAAAGTGCTGGGATTACAGGCGTGAGCCACTATACCCGGACCCAGGGAAGTTTTTCTATTACTATTTTTTTATTTATTCCCTTCAGTTTTTAATACTCTGTTTTTCTGGAAATAACACCAGTACTGATCTCATAGATGCTATATTCTCTTGAATTTTTATGAGGATGTTCTTTTGAGTTTTTTAAGAGGCACTTCAGTTCTTCAGTTGTCTGAAATATCGTTTCTTTAGCTGGTTTTATATGCTTATGTTGTTCACTTTTGTGCATTTGTTTTTCTGTTATTCTTTTATGAATAAGGAAGCAGGTTGACCAATATAGGTATATAGCGTTCCACTGGTATTATACAGGTTTTTTGGTTTTTTTTTTCTGCCCCCTCTAATACTCTTCTCCTGAATGGAAAGCTGCTAATAAACACTGTCTGTGATTGGGACTTTATAAACCATCATTTTTAATTTTGTCAGTATCATTAGGATATTAACTAGACTTGTTAATCCCTTTACTGTGGGACTCCGAACACCTACGCCAGGAATCCTCTCTAGACCCATTGAATTTCCTTTAAGTACTGTTTTTAGTTTTTAGTCTTACAAAATCTTTCTAGAAAGAAAGTTTCTACCCAAAGAATGTATGATTTCTCAGAAAAGGCTTCCTTCTAGTATGTATAAGCTCTAAATGGCAGAAATTTTGCCATTTTGTTCACTGATGCATCCCAAGTAGCTAGGACAGTGCTTGGCATATAAGGACTGATTTTTAATTCCTGCCCTTTTTGGGGCTCCCGAATATTGCTTTCTTGGGGCCCACATATCAGATAAATATTTAAAATATTGATCAGATATCAGACAGATCCTTAAAAGGATTCTTGTTCAATTTTGTCCAGCATTTCTAGGTATTTTGAATAGGAAACTTTTTTAGTCAGCTGATCTCTCTTATAATAGAAGTCTTTTAAAATAATTCCACAAAGAAGATGTTGATATTTCACATGTATTGATTTTATTCTAGGCAAAAGATGGTATTTCCAGACTTCTAAAGTTAAAAAAAGTTTCTTGTGTATGTCATTATTAAGGAAACTTATTTTTCTCATTAATTGCTTGATATAAATTATTGTGTGTGACCTATTTTGGAGGTTTTTATCTACTTAGAAAACATTCTAGAACCTGATAGTAATGTAAACACTTCACTAGCTGCTTTGGTACATTTTTCAAGAGTTTTTGTTTTTTGTTTTTTTTTTTTTCTTTTTTGAGCTAAAATTTTAACTAAAAACATTGCTTTGATAGTTAAATATTTCAAATCCAGTGGAATAGCCTCTTAATAAAATGCTGATTATATTACAGGTGCAAACCGAGCAAGACCCAGAATTAGAAAAAGAAAGGTATGTTGCTTTATGTTTACTAACACTTTTATATAGGATTTCGTTTCTGAATTTCATTGCCGTATTTTATAGTTATGGCTCACGTGGAGTAAAAAGTTCCTATTCTACATGTTTATTTTGTGTACGTATGGACTTGTTATAGTTTTCTTTTGGAGTTCTGCCTGACCTAGGAGTTGTGTTTGTTGTTTTTTGTTTATTTACTCTCATTCAAGTACTTACGGAATATTTAGAGTAACTGCATATATAAACAGACTCAGCTCAACTCCATGAACAGTAATTACATTGTTTTTGTTAAGTTTTTCTATTCTAAAACACATAGTAAAATTTTAACCTTTTAACATTACTTAATTTCAGTGTGTATTTTGATACTTTAAAAAAAACAGCTGGTGGGGGCAAACACGTATTTTTTTAGAAAACATATATACAGTTTTACATTATCAGAGGAATTAAAGCTTGTTCTTAAAAGTCTCCACAAACTGGTGACTTACAGCCTTGTTTTGACCACATAAAGTACACCCTTTCCTTAATAACTTTCTTATTCCGATGGATGTCTTCCTAATCACCACCCTTGTTTCACCAATTAATAACTTGCCTTTCATTGCTCTTCATGTGAATCACTGATTTAGAATATTTCTTTTTTTCTGCTGTATACTAATTGATTTATCAGTGTGTGTTAGTCCTTGTTGTAAGAGCGTATATTTGTTTGAAACAGCAGTTTGAAAGTGTTTAAATATGAAAAGTGTTTATTTGATGTACTGATTTTAAGATCCCTGAAAAACAGAATGTCTTACAGATTTTTCTTCTAAGTGTTTTCATAAAATCAGATTATTTTAGTTGATAAAGATGATGAGTACATTAAAACATATCAGTAACTTTAAGCAATAGGTTTGCTCTGTGTGTCAGCACAGGGTTTTAAAAGTTATATGTCATCATACCAATTACATTCACATACCTAAGAAATAATACCACCAGGAGTGTGTAATGTGAAAGCCCATGAAGGGCTTAATAAACGGTGCCTATGTAGCAGTATACATAGACCTAAAGACTGGCCACGGTAACTCTGGCAAAACCGATTTTATTTCATTTTACAAGGTTTTTTTTGAGGTCTGCATGAAAAGTTGTCTATAGCAGTAGCAGTTGGTTATTGTTTTCTCATTGTTTAGACATAGCTTTTCAAATTGAATATATTTCTTTATGAATTTACAGATAATGTTCAACCTCATAAAATTAATTTTTAAAATCAGCACCAAAAACTTAATTCCCCCATATATATATTTTTTTAACTTACGTTAGAGAAAAGGATGTGGGATAGGTCCAGAATACTAAACGTTTCTTTTAGAGTACACTGATGACTGAGAAAATACTATTTGTTGTTTTTGTTGTGTTTTTTTTTAGAGACAGGGTCTTGATGTGTTATTCAGGCTGGCCTTGAACTCCTGAGCTCAAGTTCTTTTCCCACCTCAGCTTCCTGAGTAGCTGGTACTACATGCAGTTGTTTGTTTTGTTTTAAAGCCCTTGTGGTTGCCAATACATCATGAATATGATGCTTTTGTTTAATGTAAACGATTTAAATACTGTTTAGAGGAAATTTCACGTGGGTACATTCATAATTTAATAATTCACATTATGTCTGTATTCATCCTGTTGAGATGGAAACAGGTTTTATTTACCATATAAGGCCACAAATAAAAATGCTAGATGAAATTTTTCTAATTCATTAATGTTAGGAAGTACCCAGTTGGTCTCTGAAATAAACACTAATCTTTAGTATTACAAAACCCCAGTCTAAAGTTTCTCAGGATATTTGTATTTCAGTGTTTATGTTTGTTCTCATGCCCAGCTTTTATTGCATGGTTTTTCTGAAGGCTGTGAAATTCTGGTATTATTGGTGTATGGGGGCAGGAGGGAGGAGTGGCAAATGCGATATCTATATCTCAAATGACTTTCTGGAATCCTTTTATGTTGTATTTCACAGAATATGACTGTGTTTTCATTTGATCTTTACAAAGTGGTTGTTTAACTTTGGTGTTTATGTCATTTGACATTTCAAATTGTCTTTTCAGACTAACTTGATCAATACTGAGGCTTTCCACCATATTAGTCAGAAAGCAGATACTGGTTTTGGTAAATGACTTATCTAAATAAAACACTGTGATTTAATAAAACTAGCACACAAGGACAAATAGGGAACTAAATAATTTTCTGAGTAGACCTGAGTTATCTGTTTCAATTATGGAACTGCATAGTGGTTCAGATTGTGTAAAAGATAATTTTTTATTGAAAATTTTTAAATATGGTAAAGGGAAAAGTCTCGCTATATGCCCGAGCCAGGAATCAAGGTCTCCATTGTTATCCTAGCCCCATAGATGTTTTTACATAGCCCTAAGTTTCTAAAGCTTTTATGTAGAGTTAATACGTAGTATAGTAATGAGGCAGGAATTTGAATATATTCTTTATTATTGGAAATGAGTCTTGTAATTTAAAGACAAAAGCTTGTTTTGAGAAATAATATTCATGTACCTGCTGTAACTGTGACTGTCACTAGTCTTTCTTTTCACTGTTGTGCTTTGCCAAAAATTTTATTTTGAATTGTAAAAATTTGAAACTGTTAAAATTAGCCATTGATATTTTGAATTAAAGGGATATGATTATTTCAAATAAAAACCATTTTAGCATGCAAAGAATAACTTCCACAATGAATAGAATATTCATTAAGGTTTATGGTCAAGAGATATTTCTTTATCTGGTAGAAAAGTTTTCTCCTCAGGATGTAATCTTTGGGGCTTGAAGGAAGACTAGTTTAGTTCAAATGATTTAAGACCCTGATATTGTAGCACGACTTATTCTAAACTTCTTAAATACGATTACCGTCTCAGCACATAGATATGTATCATCTTGTGTTAACTAAAGGGTACATGGGCACCCTTTAAGAAGCAAGTCAAAAGGGGATGGTTCATCCTCTCCTTCCTTAAAAATTAGGAGAAGAAAGTCAGTACTTGTTAATAGTCAGGTATTGATATGATAGGATCACTTTTCGGTGTCTTTCTCCAACCTGCTGCTTCTCATTATGTGAATATATTTGGTAAATTTTAATTTGCATTGATAGCATGTTGGGTGTTGTTTTTGGAAGCTAAGGGTTTCCTTGTCCTTCAAAGTAACCTCTGATTTGTAGAATATTAATTAAAAATAACTCAGTCTGTATCTACCTCAGTGAAAGTACTGGAATTATAGAATCACATACTTTTCATATACTTTAGATTTGGAAAGATCATGATGAAACAAGATGAGTTATATAACTTAGCCATGCATTTCCTCCATTTCTTCTAAATAATATTACTTACACATTTAAGTTAAATATTAGAATTATACATTGCTCTAATTGGGAAGGTTTATTTTTTTAACTTATTCTTATAGCCAAAGGCAAATATTTATAATAAGACTGTATGTTCACGTAAGGTGGTTGTATCAGGTTTTGTCACTAACTTTAAATCTTCAATAGATTATGCAAAGAATACTTTGAAAAAGGTTTTCTTTTAAGTATTATTAATAATACAGTTCTTGAGTAATTTAAAAAATATTCAAAATCCAAAAAAGTAAAAAGAGGTGTTATGATGTACAGTATTGGTCTCTTCTCCCCACCAATTTCTGTTTATATTCTTTTTATCACTTAATTTTAAATCATAGTGCATGGATCATTAGTTTCATTGTAGAATTGTACACATTTATTTTATTTCAATTACCACTGTTGGGAATAGGACCTGATAATATCTGAAGTGTCTAAAATTTACATTTGGCCTTTCAATGTTAGGTGTTAACTTGACACAGGAAGGAAGATATTGACTATAATCATGAATGCAAAAGGAACATATCAACAGTCATAATTTATATTACATATTTGCATCAAAACATCTTAATCATTCTAATGCTGATTGGTTGGATTTCCCAGTGCTTATTACTAATGCATCAGGAAGTCTTAACAATTGGCATCAACAGGATTATTTATAATGGTTGAATTCTCATCATAGTTTGATTTTTGTTTGTGTTTTTGTTTGTGTTCTTTTTGTTTGTTTTTAAATACTTTTAGCCCTCGCTTGAAAAACAATCCAGTTGATGAAAGTGAGGTCCAAACAGCAACTGATAGTCCCTCTGTTAAACCTAATGAGCTTGAAGAAGAAAGTACACCCAACATGCAAACAGAAATTTTGGTACAGCAGGAGGAACCTTGTGAGGAAGAACCTGAAAAAGCAACGTGTGATTCTAACTTTGCTATTGAAACATTGGAGGTTGAAACTCAAGGGGAGGAGGTCAAAGAAGAAATTGCTCTTGTAGCATCCACTCCAGCCAGTATTGAACTATTCACTGAAAATGCCGAGGAGTGTGCTTTAAATCAGCAGGTGTATAACAGCGACTTGGAGAAGAAAGATGCAGGAATTATTAACCCTGAAACAGCATTGTTACCATCTGACGGTGTGTTTATAGAAGAAAGGAACATCAAAGGAGTTATTGAAGAATCTCCATCTGAAGCAGAAGATTTCTTTTCTGGAGTTACACAGTCTGTGGTAGAAGCTATAGCCGAAGTAGAAAAACGTGAAACTGTTTCAGAAATACTGCCATCAGCTTGTATTGTGCCATTAGTACCAGGAGTTTCCACTGGGGATGAGAAGACAGTGGGCAAAAAGAGTATTTCTGAAAAAAAAAGTAACATGGATGAAAAGGAGGAGAATGAATTTAATACTAAGGAAACCAGAATGGATCTTCAAATAGGAATAGAGAAGGCTGAAAAGAATGAAGGTAGGATGGTTGCAGAAAAGGTGGAAAAGATTTTGGCATCAGTGAAAGAAAAGCCTGCAGAAAATACTTTATTCAAGGCATACCCAAATAAAGGAGTGGGTCAGGCTAATAATCCTGATGAAACTAGTAAGACTAGTATTCTGGCAGTATCCAATGTATCTAGCAATAAATCAAGCATCAAGGCTGTTGTTGTCTCTTCTCCTAAAGCAAAAGCTACAGCTTCGAAAACTGAAAATCAGAAAAGTTTTCTAAAATCTGCGCTTAGAGATCAAATAAATGCTGAAAAGAAACTTTCGGCCAAGGAATTTGCTCTACTTAAACCTACAAGTGCCAGGTCAGGCTTGGCAGAAAACAGCAGTAAATTGAAACCCACTCAGAGCAGTTTTACCAGAGGAGGCAGTGGAAAGATCTCAGCCCTGCAAGGCAAGCTTTCTAAACTGGATTACAGGGATATAACAAAACAATCTCAGGAAACAGAAGCTAGACCTTCCATCATGAAGCGGGATGACAGCAACAATAAGGTGAGGAGGGTAGGAAGAATGGTGCAGTGTGTCTTTGAAGAGATTAGCTCCACTGGTGTAGCTGTGGAGTAGGAGATGTAATTTTGTTTCATACTTTCATCTCCTCACTCTACCCCAGAAGCTCCTATTTTCTTTTCTTAAATGATTCCATTGTTTAAGCCAGTATACATTTAGAGTATTAAGCTTGAGTTCATAATTTATTGACAGGTTTGAAAAGCATTATTTGGAAAAAATTTGGTCAGAAATAACTGATTAAAAAAAAAAAACAAGTCTACAGTGAATCTCCTAAGGTGATTTACTACTTTGCTTCTGAATGAGAAACTGTTTCCTCTCTTAAATTGAACCTTCTTCTATCAGGTCACTGATTGCCCAACTAGACACTGTGAGACAAAAAGATCAGTAAAACTGAATTTAACTACAGCTTGTAGAGACTGTGCCTGTACTGTTTAATGACTGTTGACTTAGTTTTGTATATGTGTTAAATATTTGCATAATTGACTGTATTTTGGTAGGTTTTTTTTTATATATACCATTTAATAATCTGGTTATAAATTCTGTTTTTCTGTATTTCTTATTTACTGTTTCAGACTTTAGCTGGACAAAACACTAAGAATTCTAAAAGTGCCGCTGGTAGAAGTTCCAAATCTAAAGAGGTAAAAAGTAGATAACAGACCCTAACCCTTTTTTTTTCATCGCTCCGTAGCACAGTGCATCTATCTTATAACTTGTGCCTGCCTTATAATAGTTAATACAAATGTTGGAGAGTTAGAGGTATAGAGCAAGGGATAGGGATGAGATGTTTTATTTTTAATTTACCTCTAATCCTACCATTAATTTGCTTTTTGACCTTGAGTCAGCCTAAACACCTTGTGTTCTTGGTGAAGGAGCAAAATGTTATATGGGGACAGGAAGAGAGTAGAGTAGGAAAATACCTTCAATCTCATACTGACAGGAATAGGTTGTAGACACAGAAAAAAAATAATCATATCTGTAAAGGAGAATGACTGACATTTGACTTGATTCATTCTAATTTTGTTAAAACAGGTTATTCTTTTGGCTCTAATTTAACCTTAAGTGGATGGTGGATGGTCTCTAAGATGTACTTTACTGGTACCACATTCTGTTGCCAAACAAACATATTTTATATTTGGTTGTTAAGTATTTCAGATTTTTACCATTCATAGAATATTTTTTCAGTCATTTTACTTTTATTACCTGGTAGGGGATGAATTTGTGCCTCTGTTGTTGGGGCAAGGAGAAATGTTACTACTTTAAAGCAGAAATAAGAATTATGGCTACTTCATTTTGCTTTGTTAAGTTGATACTACAACTGCTTGCAGATAATCCTCCCTAGAAATTACAAGGTTCATATTCTAATGTCATTGTTATATATAATAGCAATTGATCACTGATAACATACTAAATGTACAGGAGCCCTGGTAGGAATTTATCTTCTTTACTATTGTAAGTATTTTAAAAATTACAGATACTTTGTTTTCAAATACAATTATATTAGATATTGAGTCTTAATAACTTTTCCATACAACTTTCTCAAAATGTAACCATTGTATTTATTAAAATATGTATTCTATAGTTAATGTGTAACCAATATACAGTGATAAATGGAACAGTCTAATTAGCTGTTTACTTTCTAACTATATTTGAGGTACTTCTAGAAGTCCAGTAAATCTCCTAGAGCACTTGTTAGATGTTTGACATATGGAACAGTAAATCCTTTATATTGTTTGACAAATGCTTTAAATGTAATATTTTTATGTGTCATACTTCAAAACTCATCATTTAGAAAATGTAATCTTACTGAATTTAAGAAGTGGAGTTAGGTTGATATTGTTAGGATTTTACCTTTGGCTTATACTTTGTGCATTATAGCTAAGTCATTTATGGGGCTTTAAAAAAAAAAAAAACTTTTAATTTTAGCCTTTAGAAAACTTAATTAGCACTGAAATTCTCCCAGATGATCTGCATGCACATTTATTGTGACTATTTGGAACTAGGCAGTGTTCAAAATTTGTTTACAATACTGTGATTTTTAACCTTCCAACAGGAACCATTATTTCCATTTAATTTGGATGAATTTGTTACTGTGGATGAGGTTATAGAAGAAGTGAATCCTTCTCAAGCCAAGCAGAATCCACTAAAGGGAAAAAAGAAAGAAGCTCTCAGAAATGTTCCGTTCTCTGAACTTAACTTAAAGAAGAAAAAGGGGAAAACTTCAGCCCCTCGTGGTGTTGAGGGAGAACTATCTTTTGTAACATTGGATGAGATTGGGGAAGAAGAAGATGCAGCTGCACATCTAGCACAAGCTCTAGTCACTGTGGATGAAGTAATTGATGAAGAAGAACTAAATATGGAAGAAATGGTAAAAAATTCAAATTCACTTTTTACATTAGATGAATTGATTGACCAAGACGATTGTATTTCCCACAGTGAACCTAAAGATGTTACTGTTCTGTCAGTGGCTGAAGAACAAGATCTTCTCAAACAGGAACGCTTGGTAACTGTGGATGAAATTGGGGAAGTGGAAGAGCTACCTTTGAATGAGTCAGCAGACATAACTTTTGCCACTTTAAATACGAAAGGAAATGAAGGAGATACTGTAAGGGATTCTATTGGTTTCATTTCTTCTCAGATGCCTGAAGACCCTTCTACTTTAGTTACTGTAGATGAAATACAAGATGACAGCAGTGATTTGCATTTAGTGACTTTGGATGAAGTAACTGAAGAGGATGAAGACTCTCTGGCTGATTTTAACAACCTTAAAGAAGAACTTAATTTTGTTACTGTCGATGAAGTTGGAGAGGAGGAGGATGGAGATAATGATTTAAAAGTTGAGTTAGCACAAAGCAAAAATGATGGTCCCACAGATAAAAAAGGGAATAGAAAGAAGAGAGCTGTGGACACAAAAAAGACAAAATTTGAAGCCTTGTCCCAAGTGGCTCCAGTAAATGAGAATGTTACGGAAGAAGATCTAAAAACCATGATTGAAAGACACGTAACAGGTAGATTCTTGGAAGTAGTAATCTTTCTGTTTTATGAGGGGATTTCATTTAAAATTAATTTTAAAATGCATGTTGTGGCATTACCAGTAATTTCACCCAGTATTGATATCAGAAGCCAACAGACAGTTACAGTCAACAATAAATTTTCCAAAGAGCTGTATACAAGTTTCACAGTTTTTTAGAGTTATACAGCAGAACTTGCTCCAAGTTATACTTCAAGAAAGAATGACAAAAAACAGAAAACAAACTAAAGAAGCCAAATTAGAATTGGAATGAAAATGATATATTTGTATTGTGGGAAAAAGACAACTTGATAAATAGAAGAATATTTACATCAGATTGCCTCCCGGTTTTTACTTAGACTTAGGATTTAGAATAATTTATAAAGGAACTGTTTTGTTATAAAGTAATGTTGTAATGATACAGAATAGTAGGGCACCTCACTTCCTGAACTTGAGAGAGATTAAAATAATTTCCATTAAGAAAATCTTGAGGCCCAACATTGTGGCCCATACTTACTGTCTCAGCACTGCACTTAGGGAGGCCAAGGTGGGAGAGTCGCTTGAGGCCAGGAGTTTGACACCAGTCTGGTCAACCTAGCAAGACTCCTCTGTCTACTAAAAAATGAGCCAGGGGCAGTGACATGGATCTGTGGTCCCAGATGCTTAGGAGACTAAGGCGAGAGATCACTTGAGCCCAGAAGGTCGAGGCTGTGGTAAGCCATGGTCATGCCACTGCACTCCAGCCTTGGTAACAGTGAATGAGACACTTTGTCTCCAAAAAGAAGAAAAGAAAAAAAACCTTTCAAAAGATTTAACTCAACTAAGAACAAAATACTAGGAAAGTCCCGCAGGCTTATGGAACAAATTAGAAAAACATTTGTAGAACACTCTGGGAAAAGAAGATAGAAAAGCATAGTTGTTTGGAAAATGATAACTGGGAACAAAAGGAAATGTTTAGATTAAACTGAATATTCTTAAATAGAATTCTTCTATTTTATATTAGCAGTAGGCTTCCCACCCATATTTGGGTATATTTTGCAAAAAAAAATTATAATGTTGAAATTGTTATTCAGACAGTATAATATGATTAAAACAATTTAAATACTGTTACTAGAGCAATAAATTAAGACTTTCTTTTTAAAGCTAAAACTCCAACCAAGAGAGTTAGAATTGGGAAAACTCTGCCATCAGAAAAAGCTGTGGTGACAGAACCAGCAAAAGGCGAAGAGGCCTTCCAGATGAGTGAAGGTAACGCAGGATTGTTTGAATGGGAAGGAAAGTTACACAACACAAGATAGTAGTTGGTTTCAGAGATATATCTAAGAAGAAAAATAGAAAATCAGTGGAATAGATCAGGGGTGGGAAAAGTCAACTTAATTAGATGTTGGTAAGATTTTGATCTTTGTAATTTATAGAGAATGGATTATTGATAATTAGAATGTGCCAGATTAGTGGAAAAGATTCTTGAAAGGTTATTCTGATTATGATGTCTCATCAGATATAAATTATTAACTAGCCGCTATTTGTGGACCTTGCTTTGTCGATGCTTCTAAGCAGCCAGCCATGAATTAAAGAAGAAGTCTTAATAGGATTTATGAAATTTAAGTTGAAACAAATAAGGATATGTCTAGAATACTTTAGTCACTCAACAGATATTTGTCATATCCATTCTGTTGGGCACTGTTCATAACAGAATATTTAAAAGGGCAGACAAAAGAAAGTACATAGCTCCTGCTCTCAAGGGGCTTGTTGATTCAGAGAGGTAAAGCAAAAAATCACCTTGCCAGTATGATTATTTAAATAGAGCACTATAAGGGTATCCCTTTTACCATTCTAATTGTAGCACCCTCATTGCCATCTTTTTTTTTCCTATCCTGCCGTCTCTAAGGAAAACTTAATCAATTATTATTCCATCCAAGGAGTTCATTGAATTTTATCTCAGGTGGTCTTCTTCCTTTACTCTTTTCTAACCAGATGTAAAATTAGCCTTTTCCCCCTTCTACATCACCTAGCCCATTTCTCACTGGATGTCCTTTCTTTCATTTTTATTTCCCAGAGTAAATCTAGGATCTCTCCCTTGTCTGCCAGCTTATATTTGACTTTACACATATAAAATTTGACCAGGTCTTTCCCATTGAAAATAATATTGCTTTGACCTTGAAATCTCTCTAGCTCCTATCTTTTCTCCTTCCTTTTAGAGCAGAGCATCTAGAAAGAACCACCTACTTCTACATCTTAATTTCCCATTGAACTCTATGTATTTTGGCTTTTTTCTCCTACCACCTTCCTGAAAATGATGTTGATGTATCCCCATTGGGTTGTTACCAAACTTGATTTTTTAAAGTATTTTCTTCTGAAGTTAGTCTTACTTGACTTTTTACATGATAGGTTACTTTTGATTATGTCCTCTTTCTTGAAACTCTTTGCAAGTCAGGGTCAAGTGGGTATTCCTTCTTCCTTGTCTATTCTTTTTCATAACCAATGAAACTGAACTATTATTTCTTTGATAATGAAACTATAGGTGGTGGTTTAGTAATTAGGTTCTCGCATGATTTCATGAGGTCACCCCCCCAACTTAAGAATTTCTGTATGGTAGGACAACTTTGGCACTCAGTTTGCTTGGAACTACGTCATTTCAACTGAGTAATATAAAAGGATGATTTAGTTACTGCTTACATAACAATATGATACGTTTCTATTAATGAACAATATGTTTGACAAAAGACCTAGCTTGAGAAAAAGTCATTTTCCACACAATTGTAAACTTAAATCATTTATTTTAATCTATTTTAATTAAATCATTTTAATATATGTTATATATTATTAAGATAAATGTGCCTTTGGAGTGGCAGGAACAGATATGTTTGAGAAAGTTTATTGCTCTAATGAGGAAATAAACAATTATAGGAAGAGATTAGAGGCTAGGAAACCAGATTATTTTAACCATCAAGTTAAGAAAACGGATTCTAGGACTTGAGGATCGGTAAAATGTGAGGAATAAGAGTAAGTAGTGGTTTCAAAGTTCCTAGCCATCCCCTCAGGAATACCAAAGAGTAGCCCATTGGTGGCTCATGCCTATAATCCCAGCACTTTGGGAGGCCAAGGCGGGTGGATCACCTGAGGTCAGGAGTTTAAGACCAACCTGACCAACATGGTGAAACCCTGTCTCTACTAAAAAAAACAGAAATTAGCCAGGCCTGGCGGCATGTGCCTGTAACCCCAGCTACTCAGGAGGCTGAGGCAGGAGAATTGTTTAAACCCTTAAGCAATTCTTAAGGGAGGCCAAGGTTGCAGTGAGCCAAGATCGTGTCACTGCACTCCAGCCTGGGCAACAGCGAGACTTTATCTCAAAAACAAAACAAAACAATACATAGCCCAGATGTAAGGAGGGAACACTAAACTTGAAGTCACAAAGTCTTAGTTCTAGCCTATGTCACTCACTAGCCATACTATCTCGGGCATACCTGTTTATTACCTCTTTTGATTGCGCTTTCTCCATCTCTGAAGAAATAGGGATAATGATGATTTGATTTGCCTGTCTTACATGAGATGAAAGCTAAATCAATTATTACATATGTAAAAGGGTTTTGTCAAGTATTATGCAACAGTAAGGTATTCCAGCTACTGAGGATAATCAGAATTGCTTGGAACCAGTCTTCATTTTTGTCTGTCCCCAAGATCGTAGTATTCAAATTCTGCTAACATTGAGTGCTTCTTACTTGTTATTCACTTTGGTGGGCTTTAACATTTGTATTAATTTTATTTGTGATTTTAACAGCGATCTTAGGCTGTCAGTTTAGGCTCAATTTTCTAGGTTGGAAGGGCCTCAGTATTGGGCCATAGAATCAATTTCTGCTGGTATCCTTTTTCCTTAATCTTCACTCTGCTCAACTCAGCACTTTGCATATATGAGTTCTCTTGCCAGTAACTATAGGACTTGAACAACTTGTATTACTCTTTAAATTTTGCCTGTAACATATATAAATAAAATTTTCTGTTAGCTTTAGGCTTATATTCCTAAATCCATTTGAATGGATTTACCCATTTATTCATCACATCAAAGAATCTTGGAGAACATTGTGTGAAGAATAGTCAGATGGGATTAACCAAGGGAGGGTTCCCCTGATTCTTAAGGTAAGATTTATCCAGTGTTAACTTTACGAAATCTGTAAATCTATTCTGAATAGCTTTTTTCCCTTGAAAAATTTTAGTTGATGAGGAATCTGAATTAAAGGATTCAGAACCAGAGCGAAAACGCAAGAAGACTGAAGACTCTTCTTTAGGCAAATCGGTGGCATCTGATGTCCCTGAAGGTAAAGTTAAAATGACATTTTTTTCTTATCCATATGAAATAAAAATTCAACACTGTAATAACTGTTACATTGTTTAGATAAGTAATTGGGTAATTTCGCCTGCATTGTCATTTTATAGTGGAAATTTGCATGTTTTACACAGTGGCATTTTTTAAGACAGTTGTGACTGGGCTGTTTTACCTGAGAAGGATATTTTTATTGCATTTTTGAAATCTGGGATGTATCGCCTCTTTTATTCCTGGAGCTTTCTTCGCCACTCTGTTGAGAATTTAGTTATACTTGCCCAGGCAGAAACTCATTCCAGCTAAGCAGAACATGCTGAAAATCTTTGCTAGCCAACTTTGTTCACAGTAAGCTAAGGTAAGTTGAAGGTGACCTTATTCAGCCAGCATACTCCTCAATCAGACAGTTGCCCATCATTCCGTCTCTTTTCTTTCTTGTATTTTAACGAGATTCCTAAGAGGTTTACTTTATTATATTTTATTTTGAGATAGGGTCTCTGTCACCTAGGCTGGAGTACAGTGGTGTGATCTCAGCTCACTGCAGCCCCTTCCTCCTGGGCTCAACCAATCCTCTCACCTCAGCCTCCTGAGTAGCTGGGACTACAGGCGTCTACCACCACACCTGGATAATTTTTGTATTTTCGGTAGATACAGGATTTCATAGTGTTGCTTAGGCTAGTCTTAAACCCTTGAGCTCAAGCAAAATGCTGAGATTACAGGATCGAGCCACAGCTCTCAGCCAGAGGTTTCTTTTAGACTGTTAGATTCTTATCTAATGACTTGGTATTCTGAAGGATTATTGAACTGTTCTTTGTTATCTGAAGATGCTCTGTGGGAATCTGTTTAGCTTGGCAGTATACCAAAGTAGTGGCATACTGGCATTCCCCAGAGGCTCTAGAATATTATAGAATGTGTTAATGAAATAAAGAGTTATCCCTAAATTTATAGCAGTGTATACTGTGCTTGTATTTAAGTATATACTATGCTTAGTATTTTTGTCATGTTTAAATAAATTGATGGAGGCCAGGCATGGTGGCTCACACCTGTAAGCCCAGCACTTTGGGAGGCCAAGGCGGGCAGATCACCTGAGGTCAGGAGTTCGAGACCAGCCTTGGCAACATGGTAAAAACCCATCTCTACTAAAAATACAAAATTAGCAGGGCATGGTGCCATGCACCTGTAATCCCAGCTATTTGGGAGGCTGAGGCAGGAGAATCACTTGAACTCAGGAGGCAGAGGGTTGCAGTGAGCTGAGATTGTGCCATTGCACTCCAGCCTGGACGACAGGCTCAAATAAATAAGTAAATTTATGAACACCACTGGAGATAAATTCTTGCTAATTTTCCTCTTGTCTCTTCTTATTCTCTAGAATTAGACTTTCTTGTACCTAAGGCTGGATTCTTCTGTCCAATTTGTTCCCTCTTCTACTCAGGTGAAAAAGCAATGACAAATCACTGCAAGAGTACACGTCATAAGCAAAATACTGAGGTAATTTTTAAAATTCTTACAAAATCTTGAGGTGGTGTTATTGTCTTAGAATCAAATTATTTATCTACCCCAAACATTTTTTTCTCACTTTAGGAGAATGTTTATGCCAGTGTATTCCACTTAAATTCAAAATGCTGTTTTCTCCTTCAGTGTACCTTGCTAGTAATGTCTAGCTCTTACTCGTTTCCTTGAACAGCAACATTTGCCAGAGTAGATTCTGCAGATCACTAGTCTCATATGACACTCTGTTATTAAAGTTAAAAACTGCATATTTTGATGCCCTCTTCAGTCATGTATGTGTTAGCATATTAAAGTTTCTGAATTGTCCAATGAAAATGAATCCGGCTTAACTTTATGCAACCCATTTATCAAACTCATTTAGTCGTAAAATCTTTTTTAAATTGTATACATCTTTAAGAAATATTACTCTAGAGAATCATCATTAGCCATAATTGAAGCGGTGGTTCTAGTTCCTGCTGAATATTTGATAATTTTATATATCCTCTCTATTGAATTTGTGTCACACTCATCTAACATTTATTGAACTGTTCTGTGCTGGAAGCTTATTTAATCTCATCAACTTTATGAGGTAGATGCTATTATTCCAATTTTAAAGATGAGAAAATAGACTTAAGGAGGTTACGTATCTAAACCCAAGGTCACATAACTAGTTAATAGCAGACCTAGGATTTGAGCTCAGCTCTATTTCATCCTAGGCCCAAACTTAGACATTGTGCTTTGCTACCTGTGTGCTTAACTTAGTTTATCATGTCATTTTTCCATTTAAAATCTTCTAGTAGCTTCATATTGCACTTGGTCTAATATCCAAACTTCTTTTGGGTCTAAAGCCCTGCATGATCTGATTCTTTTCTACTTCTCTGAACTCAGTTTTTTAAATTGCTTTTTGTATTTCAGCTTTTCTGGCTCTCTTTGTTTTGTTTTTCCATACATAAGAGGCCTGTTGCTGCCTTTGCACCTTCATATTGCTGTTCTTTTGCCCCTTCCCAATCCTACTTGCATGGCCAGTTCTTTCTCATGTTTTTCATCTCAAGTGTCAGTTCCCCAGAAAGGTCTTTGCATAAGAAAGAGTTAAGTAGAACCCCCAAAAAAGTTCAACCTCAATTACTTGTTTAACTCTTTTTTAAAGTGCCTACCACCTCCCCCCAAATTATTTTCTTTCTTTCTTTTATTGTTTTTTTCCTCTCATTAGAATGTAAGCTCTATGGTATAAAAGATCCTAACTCTCTTGTTGCCCATTGCATCCTCAGGCACCAAGCATAATACCTGGTGTACTGTAAACATCAGATGACTGATGAATGAAAGGAAGAAATGTTCATATAAGGCACTGTGTTTATAATACTTATTTTGTAGGATCAGTCTCTTAAATTATAAGTAGAATGATATACAGCACATAAGCTTGCACACATAGCAGAACAACATCTAATAAGTATTTCATGTTGCAAATTGCTTTTAACAGAAATTCATGGCCAAGCAAAGAAAGGAAAAGGAACAGAATGAGGCTGAAGAAAGAAGCTCTAGGTGATTGGGGGAAGGGGAAAGAATTCACTAGAAATTTGTTTAGGGTCCAGTTGATTTGTGTATTTTTGTTATCATTTAATTTGTAATTTTCGTTTCAGAAGCAAATACTCGTGTTGTACAAATTTCTGGTTACCCTTGATGTAGAGAGACTGATGGGGAAAGTATGATGGGTTTGATTTTTATATCAAATCATCAGGCATGGAGAAATATCTTTTAGAAGTGTTAAAATAAATGTTCCTACTGTATATTTAAAATACCATCTGTGTTTGTGGCTGATTTATTAAAGACTTCCTTGCCTCTGTTTGCAGACAAGTTTTTTCACTACAACTCTTGTGATTTCGGATGTTTGGGAATTCTTCATGTATCGCTGGAAGTCATAGCATGACACTGTTTTATTTTGCTTCAATCATTCATGTATATATACAGGTCATAGGTTTCTTAAAATTCTAATTTTTTTCTGTGTAAATTTAGATTACAGCACGTTTGCCCAGATAGGTTTGAATGAAACTGCTTGATTTTTATATGTGTTGTAAAGTTATTTTTTCTGCTTCTGGTTAACACCTGCTGTTCTGCCAGAACCCATTTAAGGTAACACCAAGCTAGTCATTTATTATTAGCTTGAATGTATAGAGCAGCCATTACTTCTTGTGGGCCACCAGAGTAGCTTTTTAAACCATTTGAATTACAGTTGAATATGTTTATAAGACGTTTTAAAGGCACAAAAAAATAATTGAATGGCCAGTAGGTGATGGACCTAGCCCTATACTTTTAAGTTTTTAGTGGGCCATTCTTCAGACATAAGTCTGCTTACTTCAGATTGTTTTAGTATTTGTTACCTCAAGATAGAATGTACCAATTAATAATAAACAGGATGAATGGAAGGGAACAACAACAACAAAAATCCCTACCTTTTTTAGATCTCTTATTTCCATCACAGCACAAGAGTGACCTCACAGTCAACAAGAAGTGGTGTGGAGAACAAAAGGCAGCACCTCTTTGTCACTTCACATGAAACTCACTGCATGCTTAGTTCAGACTACCACGTCCTGAGTAAAATTACAGAATACTACAAGTCACAAACAAGAGGGTGAGATAGAGGAATGGCTTGCTGTCGAGAGTCTGTTGGAATTAAAACCATGTAGGTGAATCCAGATAATAAGAGGGAGAAGAGCTTTTTTTTTTTTTTTTTTTTTTTTTTTTTTTTGAGACGGAGTTTCGCTCTTGTTACCCAGGCTGGAGTGCAATGGCACGATCTCGGCTCACTGCAACCTCCGCCTCCTGGGTTCAGGCAATTCTCCTGCCTCAGCCTCCTGAGTAGCTGGGACTACAGACACGCGCCACCATGCCCAGCTAATTTTTTGTAGTTTTAGTAGAGACGGGGTTTCACCATGTTGACCAGGATGGTCTCGATCTCTTGACCTCGTGATCCACCCGCCTCGGCCTCCCAAAGTGCTGGGATTACAGGCTTGAGCCACCGCGCCCGGCCGAGAAGAGCTCTTAAAACATTAGACAATAAGTGCCTGTAAACTAAAGAAGCACAGTCATAGTGAATAAGAATCTTTCTTTTAAAGAATCTTCCTTTCTCCTCAGCTTGCTTTTGGAACTTTTACAACTGGGGAAGTTACAAGCTTCTTTAATCTGGTCTGAATCAATCTTCTGAAATTGGGATTCTAAATTAGAATGAAAGGAGCTGCTAAGGCATAAAAATGGTAGAGGTGATTTTTCTGTTTTATCCTAGTGACAGATGTTGACTGTTAATTATACATTGTAAATAAATGTTTCTCTCTGGGACTTTTTACACTTAATGCTGGTAATTTTTACCTTAGGGCTCCAAATGCAAAAGATTTTTATGAGATTTTCTGAAAATAAACATGTGCTCTTTGCATATAATTTTAGTATTGTTCTTGATGTTTTCAGAAAATCTCCCTCCTTCAGTAACACCACACATATAGAACATCATATACATAGCAGTTTGCTTATTAGTTGATTGAAGGATATAATTAGAATTGCAGCTGACTTAATTTTCTATCGTTAACAGCATCCAGACTCCAAGGCAAAAAAAGATTACATTCAATATGATCTCTATAGGTTTTTAGATTTTATTTCCCTTTTGGTATTAGAATGCTGTGGAAACTTGCCTTTCCAAAATTGCTTCTTTTTAATCCTTCTTTAAAAAACATTTATAGGAGGGGAGTCAGGTTTTTAAAACTTAAATTTTTAATTTTACTATTTGTTAATTGTGGAAAATGTCAAGCATATTAAGACAGAATGGGATAATTACTCATACACTAATTAGTGTCAGTAATTATCAACTCAAGGCCAGTTTGTGTGTGTGTGTGTGTGTCTCCACTACCAACCCTCTTGTATTACTTTAAAGTAAATCTCAGCATGTTTTAGTAGTTAATTGTTCATTGTGTACCTAAAATGTAAGGGTTTTTTTTAAATATAACCAGTACCATTAAAAATATTTATTTAGGCCGGGCACTGTGGCTCACGCCTGTAATCCTAGGCACTTTGGGGAGGCTGAGGTGGGTGGATCACCTGAGGTCAGGAGTTCAAGACCAGCCTGGCCATCATGGTGAAACCCCATCTTTAAAAAAAAAATAAATAAATAAATAAATATTTATTTATTTAAATAATTGGTTCAGATTTTTAACTGTTTCATAAATGGGTTTTTTGTGGTTGTTGCTTTACTGTGTCTGAATCCAGATTCAGATAAGATCCATACATTGTGACTGGCTGGTAGATCTTTTAAATTATACTATTTTGAATATATAGGTTTCTTTTTCTCTCTCTCTTTCTCCCCCCTTGTAATTTATTTGATAAAGAAACTAGATACTTTGTTCTCCTAAGCAGTGCTGCTCAAAATGTTTTTGGACCCAGTGCAGTGCCAGTACACATACTGAAGCAGTTTATTGAGAGTTGCTGGAAACCTTTTGACAGTGATTTTATGTTTATCTGTCTGTTGAATCTAAACCAAAAAATGGGATTTGTATGTTTGTGTATGTGTGTGTTTTTTTTTAATTTCTTTTTTTTTTTTTAATGTATGTGAATTTTTTAGAATTGTTGGTCTATAGTGAATTGAAAATTAGGGAGAAAAAGAAATAAAACTGATCAAGCACATAGTTGGAGATGGCACTGCTGACAGGTTTCCCCAGTCTGACTTTGTTGCTTACAGCCCTGTAATACCTTTAAGATGTTCTTGCCCTCTCTGTAGCTTATAAATTGATAAATGTATATAGACACTTGATTAGAGTTTTTTTTCTTTTTTTCTTTTTCCTTTCTTTTTGACAAGACTACTTTAGGCACATAGTGATGTGGTCTTCCTGATCAGGAGGCACAAACTGATTGCTTTCTCTGGGATTTGAGTAGCAGTTGATGCTTAGTTTTGATCCACTTATTCATTAGGGATGGCAAATAATGATATCTTAATTCTATATTCCTTCTTCATGTGTAAGCAAGAACATTTCTCTGCAAAGAGAAATTCCCCCTCATCTGCTATTTGATAGTGGTATGGTTTGTGTAAGAAAGATACAGATAACATGATGCTTTTTCTTTACCTATCAATTTTTTCAGAATGAGTTGATTCTTTGGCATCCACCAACTGTGATAAATTTTTTTCTTAAGCATTAGTATGAACTTGTGAATTTTAACATATTTGATGTTTGAAACCTCTGAAGTATTAATATTATTGATGCTCATATGTCCCACATTTGATTGGATTCCTCATTTCTTTTAAACAACACTTGTGGTTATCTGTATGTCAAGATGTTTCAGGCTCATGTAGTAACACTTCCTTCAAAGTGTATATTCAAATAGGGGAAGTCTCAAAAGGAATTTGTGTGTGTGTGTGTGTGTGTGTGTGTGTGAGTGATGTGTACTTGGTGTATGTGTTTGTGGGTTACATGTGATATTTTGATACAGGCATGTAATGTGTGACAATCACATCAGGGTAAATTGGGTATCGATCACCACAAAGATTTGTCCTTTCTGTTTCAAACAATCCAGTTATACTCTTCTAATTATTTTTAAATGTACAATTAAAATTTTTTTAAAGCAAGATCTCCTTCTGTTACCCAGGCTGGGGTACAGTGACACTATCTCAGTTCACTATAGCCTCAGCCTCCATAGGCTTAAGTGATCCTCTCACCTCAGCCTCTGGAGCACCTGGGACTATATAGGTGCATGACACCATGCTCAGCTAATTTTTATATATATTTTTTAATAGAGATGAGATTTTGACATGTTGGCCAGGCTGGTCTCAAACTCCTGGCCTCAAGTGATCTGCCCACCTTGGCCTCCCAAAGTGCTGGGATTACAGGTGTGAGCCATCGCACTCAGCCTTATTTATTCTTTTTATTTTTTGTACCCATTAACGATCCCCCTCCACCTCAACTACCTTTCCCAGCCTCTAGTAACCATCTTTCTACTTTGTGTCACCATGAGTTCAGTTGTTTTCATTTTTAGCTCCCACAGATAAGTGAGAACATACAATGTTTGTCTTTATGTAAATGGTTTATTTCACTTAACCTCCAGTTCCGTCCACGTTATAGCAAATGACAGGATTTCATTCTTTTGTGTGTGTCTGAATGATACGCCATTGTGTGTATGTACCATTTCTTTATCCATTCATCTGTTGATGGAAACATAGGTTCCCAAATCTTGGCTATTATGTATAGTGCTGCAACAAACGTGGGAGTGCAGATATATCTTCAATTTACTGATTTCCTTTCTTTTGGGTTTATACCTAGGAGTGGGATTACTGGATTGTACGGTAGCTCTATTTTTAGTTTTCTGAGGAATCTCCAAACTATTCTCCTTAGTGGCTGTACTAATTTACATTCCCACCAACCATGCACAAGTGTTCCCTTTTCTCCACATCTTCGGCTGCATTTGTTGTCTCCAGTCTTTTGGATAAAAACCATTTTAACTGGGGTGAGATGTAGTCAAAACTACCTCACTGTAGTTTTGATTTGCATTTCTCTGATGATCAGTGATTTTGAGTACCTTTTCATATACCTGTTTGCCATTTGTATGTCTTTTGAGAAATGTCTATTCAGATCTTTTGCCCATTTTTATTGAATTATTTTTTTTTTCCTGTGGAGTAGTTTGAGCTCCTTATATGTATATTCTGGTTATTAATCCTTTATCAGATGGATGGTTTGCGAATGTTTTTTCCCATTCTGTGGGTTGTCTCTTTGTTGTTTCCTTCACTGTACAGAAGCTTTTTAACTTGATAGGATTCCATTTATTCATGTTTGCTTTGGTTGCTTGTGCCCCTGTGGTCTTTGCCACAAGAAG